CACAGGTGAAGCTGCTCCTTCCTGACTCAAAGAACTTTTCTGCCCCAGAACCACCATCTTCCTCAGCCTGATGCCCAGCCTGGGGTTTCTTTTCATGTGCAGCTTTTTTCAAGTCCATAATGAAGCTGTCACTTTGTGAGTCCATGGTCTCCAGTCGCTCTCCACTCTCCCACACATGTGTTTCCTGAACTCTTTGGAAACCTGGTGTGGGCTCCACTAAAAATTCATTCATTTTTTCCTGAAGTGAGTCCTCTCCACAGACACTCACCTTTGACTCCTGAACTTCTTCAGCAGGTATCATGACACTGCCAAGGTCCCCATTAGGAGTTTGCAAATCAGCTGTTGTGATTTCTCTTGGCTCTTCCTCTTCCTGGGCATCAACCTCCTCCTGCTGCATCCTGTAGCTCTGACACAGCTCCTCACTCAGAGACATCTCTCCTTCAAGCACATCATGCTGGTGCTCTGGGGAGATGCTCCCAGTGATGACCTCCACACTTTCCAGTGCTGTGGGGGTTTGTGCCCGTTCTGTCTGCACAGTCTCTGCAGCTGGAAAAGGCTCTGCAAACTTCTTCAGATCAAATATTATCTCAGTGTCAGGCTCAGAGGGCAACAGCTGCTCTCTGAAATGCACTTCCTCCAGACAAATTTCAGCTTTCTCAGTAAAAACCTGACCTGAGTTTTCTATGCCAGGAGGAGTGGGGATTAGATTCAAAGAAGGGCTGCATACATCAGACTCCATTTCTTGCAGCATTTGCCTGTCACTTTGTATTTTCCAGTGTGTAGCACCACCATCATCAATCACTTCTTCTTTACAAAGATTATCATCAGCTTTAATGCCCTGTTCAATACCAACTGATCTCTCTTGCTCCTTGTCCTGTTCCTCCTGTTGCTGTCTTGCATAGAATTCATAAAAACCAAACTCCTCCTTTGTGGGGATGCTTGCAATGTGGTCCTGCAGGTGGGGCACACTTGGCTCTTCCACAAGAGGCACATCAGGAGTCGTCACTGCCTCCCTGGCAGGGGCATCACACTCTGTGCAGACATCACTTCCGTCTTGCACCACAGGTGATACAGGAATGAAAAATTGTGAAACCTTACACTCCCCTGCCAAAGCAGACTGCTCAGGGGCATGTGCTTGCTCTTGCACTTCCACAAATGATGAATCCTTACACTCCCCTGCCAGAGCAGACTGCACAGGGGCATGTATTTGTACTGGCACTTCCACAAATGATAAATCCTTACCTTCTTTTGCCAGAGCAGACTGCTCAGGGGCATGTATTTGTTCTGGCACTTCCACAAATGATAAATCCTTCCCCTTCCCTGCCAGAGCAGACTGCTCAGGAGCATGTATTTGCTCTTGCACTTCCATAAATGATAAATCCTTCCCCTTCCCTGCCAGAGCAGACTGCTCAGGAGCATGTATTTGCTCTTGCACTTCCATAAATGATAAATCCTTACACTCCCCTATCACAGCAGACTGCACAGGGGCAGGTATTTGCCCTGGCACTTCCATAAATGATAAATCCTTACAGTCCCCTGCCACAGCAGACTGCTCAGGGGCATGTATTTGCCTTTGCACTTCCATAAATGGTGACTTTAAGATGTCCCAGGACACAGTATCTGTATGTGGTAGCACCTTGCCTCCTTCAGGCTCCAGCTCCTCAGAAAAGTGACCTGAGTCCTTGGCCACCAATTCACATCCTTCCCTGGATATAGCAGAATGCGATTCAGTGGTATCAATTCCAAAGCTGTGTTCCTCAGAGACAGCTTTTCCTATGTTCTGCCTCATCTCAGAAATACTATCTGCATAACTCACCCTTTCTTCTGTATTGCCCATTTCTTGCCTTGCATAAACTTCCGTGATATCCAGCACCATTGGTTCCTCCATCTCACTTTCCCTGATGTGAGGTGTTTCCTCACAATCTTCCCACTGCTCACCAGGAGGTGGAGACAACCTCAGGGACCAGGGTAGGTGGGCTTCCTCCTCCTTGGGGCATGCAATTTGTTCCTCTTCACCCTTACCAAGTACGCTGAGGCCTTGGAGGTGCAGAGCATGGTCCATGGCAGGCAGTTCCTCAGTGCCTTCACCCTTGCTATACAGCTTGGGTGCCCTGGGCTGCACTGTCAGCTCAGAGGCAGTCTGTGCTGTTCCAGCCACGTTTGTGGCCACAAAACAATATCGCCCTGCATCTGTGACAGACACCTCTTGAAGGCGTAAGCGGTATGTGCCATTCTTGCCCTCTTCAAACCTCAGTCTCTCACTGTCAGAGATGCTCTGGCCATTCAAGGACCAGCTCACAACTGGTGGGGGCTGCCCAGACACAGCACACTCCAACACCACTTCCTCTCCTTCACAGCAACGAATATGTGCTGGGGCTTCTGCCATAATTTGGGGTGGTTCATTTCCCATATCAAATGAAAACTTGAATTTATGCTTTATGGTGGAAGCAGCCTGCTCTGGAGAGAGTCGTGGGATCTCTCTCATCTCTGTGTCTTGCTCTGGTGTGGGAGTGGGAGCAGTGATTTTGATTTCCACAGGCAGTGACAGCAAGTCTGAGTCTGGAACTGCACTTGGCAGTCCTTTCACTGCTGCAAAGGCCAGACCAACTTCTTCCTCCTCTTTCTTTATTTTCCCCTCTTCCTTCTTCTCTTCCTCCCTTTTTTCCTCCTTCACCTTCTCCTCCTCTTTCTTTTCCTCCACTTTCATCTCCTCCTTTTCCTTCTCCATGTACTTATAGGCTGGCATTCGCTGCCTCACGTGGAGTCCAGCTGAGGTGCTGACTGTGCCCAGTGGGTTGAAGATCACACAGGTGACAGTGCCACCATGCTGAGGGAGCACAGATGGGAAGGTCAGTGTGGAGCAGCACCCCGTGGTGTGAACAGCAGTGCCCTGGATGCGCCCCACGGGCTTGTCGTTGTTGTACCAAGTGACGGTGGGCTGCGGGCGGCCGTGGAAGAGGCAAGAGAAAGCGCATCTTTGTCCCTCAACAGTTTCCTGGGGCTTGATCTCCTGTACAAAGAGGGGTGGGCAGGGCTCCAGGAGCCCGCCTTGCACCTGCCATCTCTCCCCCAGGTCCTTGGATCTGGAGTATTGCTTCACTACCTGTACTGTGAGAGGCTTTGAACCAACCATTTTGGCAGCCACCTTAAGTGGGCTGAGCTTCCCAGGAGGTGCCTCCTGGGGCGTGGACATGAGGAATTCCTGCTTCTTTTTCAGTGCCGCCCTCTTTGCTTCCCGCAGCTTCTGCAGCTTCCAGCGGATCTCCTCATCCAGCAGCTCCTCAGCATTAACCACCGTAGCCCTGTGCTCCCTACCGTGCGCCAGCCCGGGGCGGCACGGCCCCGCCAGCGGCAGGCTCTGGAAACGGATGGTTCGTACCATGCCCCGGGCCGGTGAGGGCTCCCCGGGCTCAGCCTCCTGGCCCTTGTCAAAGGGGGAGCCGGTGCAGCGGAGCACCACCCGCAGGCGCTCCTCCCGGCGCTGCTGCAGCAGGCAGCCCCAGCCCTGCCGCACCCGCTCCGCGCCCCCGGCCGCAGCCGGGCCCCGCCGCTCCCCTCTGCGGGCCACCAGCAGCGAGGCGGTGGACTCGGCCGAGCCCTCGCTGTTGATGGCAAATACCCTGTAGCTGCCAGCGTCGTGCTCCCGCACGTCCCGCAGCTCCAGGCTGGCGCAGTGCGTGTGCTCCGTGCTCTCGGTGCGAATGACCTTGCGGCAGTCCTGCAGGACGGGCCGGTTGTTGTGGAACCAGGCCATGTGCGGCGCTGGGCATGCCAACAGCTTGCAGCGGAAGAATGCCGGGTCCCCCTCCAAGACAGACCTACACTTCAGTCCCTGTGTGAAGGTGGGTTTACGGTTCTGGGGGCAAGCCAGCACCGCCGCTGTGCCACGTCCCTCGGAGTCCGCGCTGTGCTGTTCTGCAAGAGGAGGAGACTGGGTTACAACATGTCACGCTCTGCCTACCGCCTGGTTGTAAAAAAGTAGCAATATATTGAAATAAAAAAATGGGCATGCAACAGATTTCATCACACACCCAGGAAAAAAAAGTAATTCACTCACCATATTTGTTCGAATAAACGCAACGCCTTGCTCTGTTTTAAAGATTGACACGAAAATCGTTCGTTGTCTGTTCTTTCTTCAGACTGGAAATGTCTTCTTGAACAAGCAAAAAAAGAATTTCAAAATAACATGTTCTTCTGCGTATATGTTTTTGTTGCCTGGAAAAGCTGTGTGTCTTTGGGTGGCAAAGAAGAAAATCTTACCTGACTTGCAGACAGTAGAATAAACGCCCTTTCTGACCCCTCTGTTTGTAGATATGTTCAAACAATTGAAAAAATAGTTTGAAATAGATTTTTTAAAAAGTAAGTAACATGAAATGAGAAGGCGTTTATTCGAACTAATACAGCCACTAACTTCACAGTGTTATGCACGGGGGGAAAAAAGCAAGCAACATGAACCACGTATGCTATCTGCAAGCCAGGGTAAGAGATGTATAATGATGAATTAATGTATGTAAAAAAAAGTGCGAGGAATCAATGGGAATGTGTAGCTTTCACATAACCTAAACAACAAATGCTCTCTAGTATACTTCATCTATCCATCCATCCATCCATCCAGTAGTGTCCATTGAACCAATTAATGTTAGGCTGCTAACTTGTTTAAAAGTAATACAATTAAGATTTGCATAACTTCCTTCTGAAGTAAACGATTCCATGCATTCAAAAGGAAATTGAACATATAAGAGCTCTGTGAACAGCTGCAAAGCATGAAGTAAAAGTTAAAAATATGGCTGCACAATTATAGATTTGAAGTTTTAAACATATTTTAAAACTTAAATAACCTTGTAATGCAGGTAACCCTTTGCATATCAAAACAAACATGCAACATGTTCCAATATGCTTTATAGTGTGTCTTTCCCCATCAGACACTTCATGGAAGCTGATAAAACCTTTTAACAGCATTACTAATTACTGGTAATAATTATTCTCATTAATTATTGTACCTTTCACTTCCATTTCAACCTCTTCCTCTAGCTTCTCATGAACAATTTTTTCAGGAGCTAGAATAAAAAAGACAAAGATTTTTTGAGCTATAGTTGTTAAATGTCCCAATCAACACTTTATATAGTAGAAACGTCCAATCTGTTTTGCAAATAGACATAAATCCACATGTACACACACACACATAAATGCATGCCAAACGATTCAAACACTTGATAAATTTTGAGAATAAAGTAATCAAATATTTTCAAACTTTTTTGCAATGTATATTTTTCTGTAAGATTTGCTTTCTTTTTGCAGGGTGGGGGAAAGTTCCTAAAACAACATGCCTTTATCATGCCATAAATCCCTGAAGAAAACATTCAACAATCCACAGACTAATGAGATAGTCTCATTCTTTATCATCTCCTAGGGAATGAATATAGTGGAATGCAATTATGATGCTATGCATGAGGAATTGATACTTGGAAGGAACATGCAGTTGCCAACCTGTCACTTTCAGATGGGTGCTGCACTCGGCTTGTCCTGCAGGGTTAACTATTCTGCATTTGTATATACCCTCGTGGTCCTGACCAACTTTCAACAATCTTAAACTGCACAGTGGCCCATCATGTTTTATGGAGCACAGTGCAGACTCCTCAACTATCAGCTGATTGCACAGCCAGACTACGCAAGGTGTAGGCACACCTTTCATTATGCAAAAGAGAAACACATCATCTCCTTCTTTTACAGTGGTTTCTGAAGGCAGAGTTTCAAGAAACTCTGGTGCTTTGGCGTCAGTTTCTGTGATCTCTTCACATGGCACAACATCAGGATAGTATACTCTGTTTCTTTGCTTCTCAGTGTCATGTGGTCTTTGGGATGTAGATATAAACAAGCTTGAGGTTTTCTTTGAAGACTCTTGCTTAACTTCAGATGCTTTAAACTGACAATCTTTGGCTGCTTTAAAGCTTTTAGAATCTGATTCAAGAGTAATTTTTGTTACTGCTTTGGCTTGTGCTTCTTTTGCTAGGTAAGAATAAAGTTAGGAAAAGGATTAGGTCAGATGTTTTGCAGGAATAAAAAACATCCTTATACTTATGGGGATATTATGGGGAGAAAACCCAGTAATTAGTATTGATAGAATATGCCGTATATTAGTGCTAAAACAGTGCTATTAAACATGAGTGACGGCACATTTAAGAGCTCTATTCCTGTTAGGGTAATTCTAGGTACCAGTTAAGCCTGTGGGTTTCTCATGGGACCAAGTCTAGATCCATGGTGACTAAAAAAAAAGCACATCTTTGCTTTCAGTTTAGAGCCTTAGAAAATTTTGTGCTTTTGTGCTCTATATTTGTGCTTTTGGCAGCTCTATAGTGAAGAAAGAAGTTTCAGTAATTAAGAGCCAGATCAACAGGGTCAATGCCTTTTTCATTATTCATCTTAGTTTTCTGGTCTTGATTCCTTTGAACTCATTAGAAATACTATCACCTGTGGTGATAATACATTTTTGGGTCTTCACTAGTGGTAACACTACTAACATTTTAATACATGGAGGTCAGGAAGAGGTAGAAGGAGTTTAAGCAAAAAGTAAATACTTCTATATTAGGAGGAGTGAAAGGTGGAAGATGCTTCAGTATTGTAGTAACACAATACTAGCACCCATTAATCCTTTCAAGTACATTAACTTATATTGCTAACTTTGGAATTAGAATCTTGGATTTGTTGGAAACATGCAGGAGCTAGAAATGACCTGGTGTCTAATTCAAAATTGCATCTGGCTTTCTCTTCTTCCTTAAACTCCTGCTTCAGGAATTAACAAAATATAAAAATTCCAACAAGCCTGTTTTTCTTTACATCTCACTGCATGTCATGAAGGATATGAGGAATAAAAAGCCTGAGACATCTGTGACTTTATGGGAAGAGGCACAAAGTTACAGTACCAACTTCCCAGTACTGCACATGTCACTTATAGAATAGAGCTGTAAATGTGGAGGAAAAACCCCAGAGCATTATTACTAGGGCTTTCTCAATTAAATACTGATAATAAAGGTAAAATGAGTGATCTCTGGGCAGTTATAATGAAGCTGCAAAAAGTAAGTGATAATGTTAAAAGTCAGATAACCACCTTTGACTGTTAGTATTGCTGAAGTTGTTGTGCCTCCATAGTCATTATACACAGTACAACTGTACAGTCCTTGATCTGACAGCTGGGCATTTAGAATTGTAAGCAGAAGAACGTTTCCGTTTTGTGATATCTTCAATTTTTCAGACAATTCTATCTTTTTACCTTCGTGGGCCCAAAGAAACTCATAGAATTCATTTTCTAGGGCACATATGAACTGAGCAGTGTCACCACATTTCACAGTTAGGTCTCTGAGTTGCAAGAGAATCTTTGGAGGGACATCTTTCTTTTCCTGAGAGGTTGTCATAGAGATTTTGGTGCTCTGAGATGTTTGAGAAAGGACGGAGGTGTGCACGGCTTTAATTTCTTCAATTGATGTAGCCTTCATGGTCAAACTTTCTGATACACTTTCAAAAACCTGTACACGCAATTCTTGCAATGGTTGTTGCACTGATTTAAATTCTTTTTGATAAGTTTCAATGTTCTTCTTTGTGAGAGGAGAAACATGAAGTTCTGATATAGACTCTGACCGGATAGACTCTTTTACATCATTCCCAGAACTTTGCCTATCTAGGGCTTGCACTGTGTAATCAAGTAACAAAAACAACAACATTAGTATCTAAAGAACTTTACTGGGCCATGCTCTGAACAAAATCAAACAGCATGGAGGATGAAAATGAATGATCTTCATTTGAAAACACAGCATGCCAGACGTACTACTCTGTTGACACAGAAGTTATCCATTCACAGGTATGAATGACAAGTGATGCCTAAGCTAGTCATGCAGCTGATACTTGGTGCTTCTCTCTTCTTTCACCAAAGTGGTCCATTTTAGTATTGGAAACTTATGGCACTTTTAAAGGAGGTATTTTTTTTTCTTTTTTTTTTTTCCCTTTACAGATTAGTGCAAAATACCTCAGTCACTGCTATAAAGATTGCTAAATCACTTGTTTTAAAATCCTTCATTAAAGCATTTCTATTTTTTACCTATATTGAGTTACAAACTTGAACATTTCCAATATTACAGCTTAACGACAAGAAATGAGAGTGTTTGGGTTACTGAGGGTACTATTAAAGTTAGATGTGAAAGAAAAGGTGTGAAACAAAGAAAAAATTAGTAACAGCATAAAAGTGTGGTATGCAACAAATTGAATCCCTTTGAAGTAAAAATGGGGCTTTACCTTCTGCAGTCACTGTAAGTGTAGCTGTACAAGTAGTTTCTCCAGCACTATTTCTTGCCTTGCAAGAGTATTGGCCAGCATGCTCTAAGAAAGCATCTACTATTATCAGTATAGCTGTGCCTGTAGACTCATCAAAGTGGAAAACTAAGTCTTTTTTTGGCAACACGAGTTGTTGATTATGAAACCACTGGATTTTTGGTTTGGGCCTGCCAGAGACTCTAGCTTGAAATCTGACTGATTCCCCGCTGCATACCCTGCAGCTTGAAATAGGCTGGATAAAGGTGGGCCTTTGGCCAACAGATTCCTCCTTAAGTGAAACAGATGAAGAAACATGCCAAGGGGGCTCTGATGTAACTTCTTCAACATTTTTAAATCCTGAAAAGAAGCATGCCAACTTTTAATTTCTTACCCTACACTACAATGAATTTTCTCTCTCAATCAAGTTTTTTTTCTAACTCGCAACTTAACAGCATGAATTACTTTCATTCATCATTTATAAAATCTATTGCAAAAAGAAAACAAATTATTTATGGTTAAATAACATCAAGAACAATATAGAACAGCAAATTCTCCAAACCGTATTTTGGCTCTAAAATTTTGATCAATGTTTAATTAATTCATATGAATGTAAAAAATTTCTTTTCAGTTGTCCAAGTACCTGTTACATACCTCTATTTGAGATGTTTTTCAAAACCTTCAAAGTAATTTATTTCATACAAAAACTACTAGATTGTCTTCACAAGGCAAATCAAAGAATGTGTAAGCAAAAACATTCCATTAGAAAGAAGGTTTTTACCATCTTTGGTGCATGACAGGTTTTAAGACTGGAGTAGATGAAAAGGGGGCACGGAACATGAAAAAAAAATCTTGAAATACTTTTTTCTGTTCATGACATATATTTTGGAGACATAACTGTATGCTGTGGACATTGTAAATGGCGGCAATTAATTGAGTTAAAAGACAACAGGACAGACAACAACTCACATATCAGTATCAGTGTATATTAAGATGATTATTGGAACATGATCTGAACAAGACAACTTCTTTAATGGCACAGTGTACCTTCTAACTTCAAGGTAGCAGTGCTGGTCACTTGGCCTACAGAATTACTCGCCACGAAGGTATAGATCCCTTCATCCTCTGGATAAGCCTCAGCAATCTCCAGCTGGAAAGTGTCTTCAAATTGAGTCATTCTAAAAAACCGTGATGGCTTGATCTCTTTCTCTTTGCTGTACCAAGACACTTTCAGATCTGGTCAGGCAAAAGACAGAAAACAAAAAGGTCTAAGGTATGATATTATACTAGCAAGTAAATGCTATTTTTATATTTATGTCTTTCAAAAGTATTAAACTCAAATGTCTACATTTAAATGTGCCTTGTATTATTCTGGTAAAGTATGATGAGTGGAAAGTGCTTGTTGCTTTAGGTTTGATTTGTGCACTGGAAATATTTGTATGGGAAAACTGATTCTGGTGCTGATATATTATTGAGTAAAAATCATTCTTCCTTGAGTCTGTTAGTGTAAAAATGTAAAAATATTTTGGTATGGCTAAAGTCAGAGAAATTATCTTTTTTTAAAATGTGATTTTGCTACAGTTGCATGATTAAACAGCTATAAAATATCTAGCTTGAGTTAGACAGGTTAAGAAATTAAAACAGATCATTCTTCTGCTAAGCACAGCACCTTCCATCTTTTTGTTGCAAATACTACTTGTCATATTTCTCAAGAAAGATTTATATATTCCTATATAAAATGTATTACTTGTATAGATTCTTGTAGACATAGGAGTGAATTAAAGCAGATTTTAGCTTTTTCTCTTCATCTGTCTCTGTACTACATCATGAATCATGTGTTGTTACTCAAGTAGTGCGCTATTGCTGTTATCAGAGGAGGATTTTCAATTGCCAGTTGCACAATGCCGACCATTAAACAACTGTACTTGCAATCATGTGTTACCTAATCTAATATAAAAGGTTTTTGTAACACAACTGAGAAGTATACAAATGCATTTGGATAGAGTATTCAAAGGAGATTTTCAATAGGAAAAATTTCTTTATTGCAAGGGTTTTCAAGCATTGGAACAGGCTGCCCAGTGAAGTGGTAGAGTCACAGTCCCTGGAGGTATTTAAAAGCCATGTAGATTTGGCAGTTAGGTTTATGTTATGGTTTATTTCTGGACTTGGCAGTTCTGGGTTAACAGTTGGCCCTGATGATCTTTGAGGTCTTTTCCCACCTCAATGATTCTATGATGGCTGATCTAGATGAAAGGATCCTTATATTCTGTGCTGTAAGTGCAGCTTCCACATTCACATAAATACAGTTCTATTAAAAAAAAATTACACTAGCATGCATTGCACAAAGGGTGGGCCAATATTTCTAACAAATATTTTCTGAAGCAGAATCAAATTTCCTGTAAATCCTTGGAGTTTTATTTCAAGGGATGGTAATGCAAATTATATGTATTTGCATGTATATGTGTATAACCAATTTAGATTAATTTTTATAGCACTGTCACATAGGATTGTTTTTAAATTTGGAGTTTTGTTTATCTTGAAATAATTTTAAAGTCTTTGGGTTGTGAACGGGATCTTAATTTGCAGTTTACTATGTGAATATTTTTCTAATAGTCATATTCAAGTCCATTTGCTAAGTGGAGAAAAGTAGCTTTATTTGACTGTGTGTTAAGGACAAAGATATTTCAATTGCAGAATGATATTCTATGTATCTAAATCAAAAAACTTATTCAAGTAAAATCTACACTTAACAATTAGCAAACACTTTTTATGCTAGGATAAAGAAAGTAACCAGAGTTTAGTGTTTGCTGAATGATGCTTAGAAATAATAGGAGAAAGGTTGAGTCACAGTTTCAGTCAGTTTGTGTAATTAAGGACATGGCAATGTGTGTCCAGAAATTCTGTCATGTTCATTTGACGCAGTACTGCTTTTCTCCCATGAAAATCTGTCTTACTCACTGACAGTTTTCCAACATCAGTTAGCATTTAAAATGCTGAGAAGTTTCCAAAGATAAACTATGATAAATTATGATAAAAAGATCTTTTTAGAAACATTTAATATGTCTATGACAGTTTAAAACTTCCATGCTTTGACTGAAACTTAAGTAACACTTGGCTGTGTGTGTGTATCAAATATCTGTACTTCTAGGGGAAGACTGATCTGAGCACATATATTGCTGAATTTTTTTCTGAGTTCAAGATGAAAAATTTTGAGAGATGGGGACATGTATAAGATGTCATCAAACCCACCTGTTCCAGTAACTCTGCACTGAAAACAAGCAGAGTGTCCCTCAGATGTAACAGTATCACGTAGTGGTATTACCACAGCAGGTGGATACACTGGCATTTCTAGCTCGGGAGAGACAACTTCTGGGACTAAAGAAAAAGAGAAAAAAGTGATTTTTAAAGATGAAGAATGAAAATTTAATTTCACAAACGCTGTTAAGATCATGGGAAACTCACTTTCAACTGAAAGTGAAGCTGAAGTTGTAGCTACTCCATAGTCATTTTTTGCTTCACAGGTATACACTGCTTCATCTTCAGGGAAAGTTTCAATCAGCAATAGAGTATATTCTTGTGCATCATGAAGAAATTTGCACTTGAAACCTGGAGAAAGCTGTTGATCATCTTTGTACCAGGAAATTTTGGGCTGGGGTTTGCCTGATACAATAGCACAAAAGCGAGCAGGTTTGCCAGACTCCACAGTAGTTGGCTCTAGCTCCCGAATAATCTGGGGTGGCTCTGGAGCTGAAAATTGGGGGAAAGTGAGGTAGCAAAGAGAGACAGGAGAAAGAAGGAAAGAGAGAGAAATCTCATTATTGATATTATTAGTGATTGAAAACTATTTGCAAAGAATTAAACAAGCAAAACAAACCCTTATTATTCCTAATCTTTTGTGTCTAAGAAAATCTGTCCTCATCCTTGATACAGGGGGAATGATTTAGCAGCAAGTGCCTTAACATAATTAGCTGTGTTGGGGTAAGGGTTTCTGGCAAAACGTGTCCAATAATTGTTATGTTGATCACTCTGTAAAGGCATATCTGTCCATATGAACGAAGTAGTTTTATTTAGACTCAAGAATTTTCTGGCCAAAGTAAATATCATGGGAAAAGAACCACTATGGTATTTTCATCCACTAGCCAGCTACTTCAGTAGGGCAAGAAACATCTATGTACATGAGGAATTTGGTAGTGTTCCAAATGATCTCTTTGAATTTTTTTCTTCTTTGAAGAGTTAGCCAGAGAAGCCATATAAAAATCAGAAAACCACTGAGTAATAAACAGAGCCACATCATTGGTTGTGGGGCCACATACCATTCACATAAAGCATAACAGAACTCCTGTTCCGTCCTGCAACAAAGGTATATTCCCCAGCGTCAGAGTAAGTGGTTTCAAAGATGCTCATTCGATGGACTCTCCTTTCCACCACATACTTGTATCTTTCCTCATATTGGAAGTTGATCTCAATACCATCCTTGTACCACTGTGGTTCAATGTCATCTTCATTGACTTCAAATTCAATTTCAGCTCTTTGTCTCTCAATGACCTTTGAAAAAGAATAAATAATAGAAGCAATATTGGTTTTTCCTCTGGTCTCACTTTCCAGTTTCTTAGATGAAGGTTCTGACCTTATGATTACAGATTTTTGTGCTTCTAACCTTATGATTAGAGAATTTTGTGCTATGACTCTGGTTAGATATTGTTGCTCTTCCCTTGCATTATTCTTTGAGTGAAAAAGCTATGAAATATTTATTCATCTGTATAGGCCTTACCTGAATATCTTTCTGGGCACTTCTGATACGAATGTCACGACCTTCCACTATCAAATTGGCACTGGATGTGTTTCCACCTGCTACTACAGTGTACTGACCAGCATCAGACATCTTTGTGGAAGCAATGATGAGACGATGGACATACTTCTCTCTCTGAATTTTCATCCTGTGCAGATCAGAAAAGAAAGTGAGCTAGAGATTTCCTGGGGGAAAACACACACCAAAAATTAATATGGTGTACAAGCAATAATTTACCTATCACCAATCTGGAGTTCTTGCCCATCCTTCATCCACTGGACCTGAATGTCAGGTTCTGAAACTTCACATTCAAAAATAGCCCTCTTCTTCTCTACCACTTTGATGTCTTTAATATGCTTCCTAAACTCAATGTGACGAGCTGGGGCAGAAAAAAGTAGAATGAGTGCTGTGATATTATTTAAGCCCAGGAAATCACTAAACATACAAATAAAGAGAGCAAATACCTTCCACATATAAAGTGGCTGATGAAGCTGCATTTCCAGCAACAAAAGTATATTCTGCTGCATCACCAAAATGCACATTCCTTATGGAGAGGGAGTGTGTAAGCTTCTTTGTTCGTATCTGACATTTATCAGTCGACTTTATTTCTACTCCATTCTTTAACCATTTATATGAGATGCCTTCATAATTAACAGTAACTTCAAAGGTTATTGTATCTTTCTCTTCAGCATTGATGTCTTTTAGCATGGAGGTAATTAGGATGGCTAAAAGGAAAGGAATGGACATGGTTTGCTTTTTTCCATTCTGTTTTACTTTATTTTAAATGCATATTAAGCAGATTAGAGATGCTTCAACTTCTTTAAGATGATTTTGGAAATATTAAAAAGTACACTTTGTGTTCAGAATCAGTATACAATTAAATGTCCCACAACTACTGAATGACATAATAATCCAAATTTGGTCTCTTGTGGTGACCTGGCATTTAGGCATACTGGCCTAAAAAGAAGAACACAGGATCTGACTTTCAAGTTCACCACTTCTATATCTCTTTAAAGAATGCTATTGAGGCTATTTAGTGTTAAAAACCACCTCTACAGTCTGCTGGTTTTGTCAGAATTTCATTAACTCCATGTGTTAATGCAAACTTATTACTGGTAACTGTAAAATATTCTGGTTAATTTAATTTTTACATACGTTTTACAGTCAGGGTTGCACTGACTCTATCATTTCCACAGACAAAAGTGTATTCTGCAGAGTCTTCACTGCTTGTGTTCATTATATTGAGCTGATGGAGTTTCCCTTGGACAACTATTTTGAACTTTTCACTCATTTCAATCTCCACGCCATTCTTCAACCAGACAGCTGGCACATTGAAATGAGAAACTTCACATTCAAAAGAGGCAGTTTTGGTCTCAGGGATCTCAATATTTTTCATGGTCTTTGTGATGTGTATGCCTAAAAGGATAGGGAAAAAAGAGAGAATTTTCTGAAAGTTAGTATGTTTGGATGACTGCAAAAAACCAAAGGTAACAGGCTATGCAGTGTCAGGTCAAGTTGCTCAGTGTTGGTGTAACAATTCATATAATTACTTTCTTACAATACTTACTTTCCACAAACAGTTTTGCTTTGCACTCGATTTGCCCAACAAGAGCTGTGTATTCCCCAGCGTCATCGGGAGATATGTTATGCAGCATGAGCTTGTGAACTTTCCTTTGAGAGATCATCTTGTATTTATCACTTTGTTTAAGCTCTATATTTTTATGGAACCACCGGACTGGTACAGTATCATGGGAAACACTCAGTTCAAATGAGACAACAGCATTTTCCAAAGCAGTCACATCCTTTGGCTTTTTGATGATCTTGACAGCTTGAGGAAAAAAGTTAGCAATATTCAGCACTGTATATGATTTGAATTTCAAAACACACATTACAGCAAATATTCAAACCAGAATGGCTTACTTTCCACATGAAGTCTGGCATTTGCTCCTATTTTTCCAAGTTTAAAGCTGTAAACAGACTCATCAGTGACAACACAGTGTTTGATTCTCAGTGTGTGAACAGTTCCTTTCACTGTTATTTCATATTTGTCACTTGATTCAAGTTCAACACCATTTTTAATCCATAGAGCTCCTTTCACATCCGGGTGGGTCAGTTCTACACTGAAAACTGCCTCCTGTGATTCTGTCACAGTCAAGTTCTTTAGTGTTTTCTTTATCTTAACAGCTAGAAAAAAAAGGAAAAAAATAGAAAAAAAAATACTTGACAAAATAGATCAAAATTAAAGCCTATAGTAAATATAATAATTTTAATTAAACTGAATGATGGTACTTCATTTTATACATATAATAATTTATACATATACACAGTATGAAAGCTTTACTCATAGTATCCATGAGAAATGTTTGTTTTCTGAGGTTTTGGGGGTTTTATTTGTCTGTTTTGTCGGTTGGTTGGTTGGGGATTTGCTTGTTTAGTTTTTGCCATTGTTGGATAGGCTCAGGGTTTTGTTTGTTTGGGGTTTTTTATATGATTTATTTTATTTTGCTTGTGTCTTAAGGCCTGGTACGAGACATAGTGAGTGATGCTGGAATAAATCTCAAAGACATCAGTTAGTTATAAAAAATACTGACCTTCGACCTTCAGTTTGGCAGATGTCTTTGAGCTTGCTATTTCATAGCTGTATTCCCCCATATCCTCCAGTTTCGTCACAGGGATAACAAGCCTTCTTTTTACACCGTCAGATTCAGCACGGTACTGATCTGTCGTAGCTAATGGTCTACCATTTTGTAGCCACTGGCCCTCTGATTCAGGATTTGCCACCTCACATTCAAAAACAGCTGTCTGGGACTCAGCCACAGTCAGGTCACTGAGAGGCTTTGAAATGGCACCGCCTGTTGGGAAGAAAATGTTCTTTTGTTGTGTTGCTGTTCAGCTTGCCCCCATACAGAAATAAAAAGTAGATGCTGGAATTCTTTGCCCTGATTTGCAGCATGCCCATAGGCATTCTGAGCTCTGGGAAAAATCAGGAATAAAATATCACCTGAACATTACAAATATATGTTTCTTATTTCTATCCTCTTTTGTTATATCATCAGCACAGGTATACTGAGAACACACAGGACAAAACCTCTTTTCTACAGTAATTAAATCAAAAGCATAATACAGCGTTTCAAACTGTGCTTCTGATCTAGCAAAATATATTAACAGATTTGAGAATTCAAATTATACTAATCACAAAAGATAAAGGCAAGGAGAACATTTAAAAAAAGGATAAATTAAAGACAAACTCCCACTGGAACAGCACTATTGCTACAAGTCCATTGGGTACTTTCTAAATCACAGTGAAATAAAAACCTTGGACTTTAACCCTACTAACCTGCTACTACAAGCTTCCCAGATGTTTTCTTCTCTCCAGCATAAAAGACATATTCTCCTTCATCGTCTTTCATCATCTTCACCACTGTCAATTTATATATTTTGCCACGTGCTTCAATTTTATATTTAGGACCGGCCTTTATGGGCTGGCCTTTGAAATGCCAGATTACATCAATCCCTGAATGGGAGAGCTCGACCTCAAAGGACACATTCTGTGTTTCAGTGCAGGTGATGTCATGAAGACCTCTAATAATCTCAATTTCTATAAAAAGAATAAATGATAAAAAGATTATTAGTTGTTTCCACTAGTTTTGTTTTTTAAAAAAATCATTTCACAAAGAATTGTGCTTCTTAAGAGACACCAACCTTCAACTGTGACATTGCAGCTTGTTTCCACTTTGCCAACCATTAGCTTATAGCGTCCTGCATCTGATGCATGGGTTCTGGTGAGCACTAGCCTCTGCTTGGCACCTTTACATACAGCTTGCACACGTTCATCAGGCTTTATTTGATTATCATTTAGGTACCATTTTGAGGAGGACACATCAGGTGCTGAAACTTTGCATTCGAGGATGGCTTTTGTTCCTTCAATTACATGAAGATCTTCTAGAGGAACCACTATTTCCACACCTGTGAATACAAAAATATTAATTGTGAGAAAAACTATGTCTTTAAAAAGTAATCCTAAAGGAGCCAAAAATCAAACACACCTTCAAAATCATCATAGTGACTTACTGTACACTGTGATCTGTCCAGTGGTTGACAGCTCAAGATCAGGAACACTAAAAGAGTAAGTTCCGCTATCTTCCTTTGTGGCATCTTCTATGAGCAACATATGTGATTGTTTATCCAGCACAATATGAATACGGTCACTTGACTGAATTTCTTGGCCATCTTTCATCCAGACACCTTCTGCATTTTCTAGGGAGACTTTGACTTCAAGTTGCACGATATCTCCCTCACAGACTCTTTGATCAGTAAGTCCTTGAAGAATTGCCATCGGACGAGCTGTGGAATTAAATGAAGTTAATTAATACTTATAGGAGGCAGAACATTGGACATTATTGAACATTAAAGCATTCTGGGATACAATGATACAGCTATAATGCATTCTACAATACATTCTATTTTTATTCTAAAATAGAAAAATGATAATAGTATATAGACAATGTAAGAAATGCTTACGCTTCATCTTCAGTTTGCATTGAGTCCTTTTTCCATCAACAACATAACTATATTCTCCTTGATCATCTTTATTAATATCTTTAATAGTGAGGGTTTGGCGACCACGGCGGGATGCAATCACATATTTAAGACTAGAAGTGAGTTCAACATCACCATGATACCATTTCCCCTCTGCATCTTCTGGGGAAACCTCACATTCAAGTTCAGCTGAGAAGGATTCTGGCACTTCAGCATCCTCAAGTTCTTTAATAAACTCAACAGCAGCACCTAAAGGCAAATAATTACATTTGTAAATAAACTTGTTTAGATTCTCCTGAAGAAAAAAAAAATATCATTAAATGAACCTAAGGGAATATATATAGATATATAGTGTAACTATTTTACATAAATACATCTCTAAACTTTCATACTGGATTCCAAAAGTATGAAAGCAGCTCCATGTCTCTAAGGGTGTTAGATGTCTGCTTAAATAGTTTTATTTCTTTCTGAAGCTGATTTCACTTTAATAGTATGGCATGGTACTGAGTTGTGTGCTTCTTACCTTCAACAGTAAGCTTTGCAGTGGTTTTTATGGATTCATCTTCAACCAGTGCACAGCTGTAGTCATCTGCATCAGACATCTCAATTGTTAATACGGAAAGAAAGTGAGCCTTTCTGTCTGAGTGCATCCTGTACTTGTCTCCAGAATGAATCTCAATTCCATCCTTAAACCATTTCACTTTGACAAAGGGCTCTGATGTTTCACATTCAAATGTTGCCATGGAGTCTCTTGCCTTAGCAACAACATCTTGCAACTTCTGGGTGAAGCTGATTAACTGCTTGGCTGCAAAACAATATATAACAATCAACAGTGCACTGACCAAACAGACTTAACACACTATGACGAGCAGTAGGATAAGTAAAATAATTGAAATTACCTTGTACTAACAGGAAAGCATGGCTAGAAGTTTCACCAGCTATATTGACTGCTTTCACCATGATGCTGGCGGAATCATCAGAAGTCACATCTCTGATAACTAATTCGCAAACGTTATCTTCAGGCCAGTACCAGTACACACGATCAGTCCTTTCAATCTGAACACCATTTTTGAACCACTGGCATTCAGGATCAGGTTTTCCCACCACTCTTACACGGAAGTGTACATCTGTTCCTTGGGCTACAGTCTGGCTTTGAATTCGTTCAAGTATCTTGGGAGCCTCCATGCTTGGACTAAGCTCCACCTTCTCTGGTTTGAATGTTGGAATGGTGATTTTGCCTTCAGGAGGAAGTGCTTTCTTCTCTTCCTCTGGGATCTCTTTGGTCCAGTGAAGAAGTTCTTCTTTTGTCTTTTTTAGCATTTCTTCATATGATTCATCTTTTTTGCGAGATTTAAGTTCCACAGCTGTAATGGCTTCATAGTAGCCCTCTTCTGTCCTGCGCTTGAATTTACTACGCAGCTCTTCAGATTCCTCTGAAAGCTTTTCATGAGTGATTCTTTCAGCCCTTTTCAGCTTCACCACTTCTTTGGTTGTTGCCTCTGCAGGTTTGTCTACCTTCTGTACCTCAAACAGAAGTTTCCCAGGTTCTGTAACTACAGGCTCATGTTTGGGTTCAGGAGCACGACGAAGAACAGATCTGAAGTCTTCCCTCTGCTGGATTTCAAGTTTCACCTTATGTTCAATAAAGCCTTCTGGATTCTCTGCAGTGACTCTTACCTCTCCTGTGTCATATGATTTGCAATCCACAATATCCAGGTAGTATATTCCATCATAACGGAGTCTAAACCTTTTGCTTTTACGGATGAGCTGTCCATTGAGGTACCAGTTGACCTTGGGCATAGGATAGCCAGTCACACGGCAGCGGAATCGTGCTGTTTCACCTTCAAGGACTCTTGCAGGTTCAGGAACCAAAACGATTTCTGGTTTTTGCTTTTCCTTTTGGTCCAGTGCAACAGCAGGTAGAGCACCCTCGTGGGCCATTCTTTCTAACTCTTCAATTCGCTGGAGTCCCCTTTTGCCTTCTGGCAGCTGGGATTCTTCCACAAGACTCTTCTCATCCTTCACAATCAGAGTAGCAGATGTGTGGTCTGTACCATATTTGTTAGTTGCTCTGCAGGTAATCACTCCACTGTCTCTGGAATAGGCTACTCCATAGTCCAGGCTACAGTACCCAAACTCGTTGATCATGCGGAGTCTGTTAGCTGCTTCCAAGGGTTTGCCATCATGCAACCACTCCACCACCATGGTTGGGTCACCAATTGGTGTAAGCCTGCATTCAAAGTGTGCTGGTCCAAACTGTTTGAGCCTTAAAGATGTGAGCTTCTTCTTAAAAAATGGTTTCTGTTGCTTTTCTTTGTCATAGAGATCTCCTTCCTCCCATTGCTCTTGACCATAGCGCAGATGGAGAGGTTCTAACTCTGGTGCTGCAATCTCCTTGGCTTTATAAGTTCCTTTTGGAATTATTAATTTCCTTTCTGGTTCAGGTTCTGTGTGTTCAACTTCAACATTTACTTTGCAGCGGGTAGTGTCCCGTCCAGCTTTATTGATAGCAGTAGCAGTATACCATGCAGCATCTTGCCTGGCAGTAGATTCAATTTTAAGGGCAGCTGCCCCTTTGGTTCCCTCAATCCTGAAATATGAAAAAAAAAGATTAAGTATTTTTCCCTTCTTTGTCATTCATTTTTGCCCTTCTTCCAAATTAGTTCAAAGCCTCCAAGGGCAAGTCTCTGGAGGTAATAGACATTTTGTTTATGTTTGTTTATGTTTATTTATGTTTGGGAGTGAAGTGCCTAAGAATCAAACCGAGAGGATGAATAAAAACCAGTCTTAAATTCTGTGGTAGTTTTGCCTGCAGAGGTCTTTAAAATCAGATACAGAGAAAAGTTCAGTAAATCTCTCTGATGGCTTTTAGAAATTATATGAAAACACAGGCTGGAAAAATACTGAGTGAATCCCACAGGAAATTTTATATCGGTAATCCTTGCTGCAATGCAAAAGCCCCAAGTGAATCCCTTCTGTGAAACTGCAGGAAGCATTTTGCAGGATGGTGGTTATTTACTACCCAACTTATATAAAGTATTTTAAAGAAAATTAAACAAAATTTAAATAAAATTTAAATTTCAATAGATTTAAATGTAATAAAAATCCTTACTTTATTTTGGGGTATTTATGAGGCACAATGATGTCACTGTTCTTGAGCCATACAATGTCAGGATTAGGGTTACCAGTAGCTTTCACTGCCATCTCCAGTCTAGAGCCCTCCTTCACGCTGACATTTCTCAATCTTTCCACAAAGTGTGGTCTGACTAGGTCTTCCTTAGCTGGAAGAGCAAGTGTATGTTATCACAAGAAGAAATGAAAAAGCCATGGTTTTAAATAAGAAACACTTATTTAAATAAGAAACACTGCTAAAAATATAATGATATACAGAATATAATAGAAAATACAGAAGATACCTTCTACAGTCAGTGTCATTGAGACTGAAGCTTTGCCTGCCCTGTTCTGAGCAATGACAGCCCATTCTCCAGAGTCTTCAGGCATTGCAGGAACAATGATCAATGACTGGGTACCATCTTCTTTAATCACTATTTTATGGGTGTAGTCATTAATAACTTGTTGGCCTGCAGATACAGATGAAAAGAAAACAGTTGCAATCAAGACAGTCTCAATGAGACATAAAAAACTTTTTTAAACATTATTTCTTCATGAAAATGAGGCTGATGTACCATTATGGAACCAGTATGTCTCTGGCATAGGTCTGCCAACAACTTTTAAGTCAAATCTTGCTGTCTGCCCCTGTGAACATTTAAATGATGTAGGTTTCAGCACAAAAACTGGCTTATATAGTCTCTCTAGTTGCCCTTCATCAGTTTCTTCTAATCTCCGGGCAGGAGAACGAGAAGGAGAGCTGCGGGCAGGAGACCGGCTTGGAGACCGTGGAGAGATAGACCTGGAAGGAAGAGATAAGACAGATGTGTATGGCAATGTCATATAGCAGTGGACTGACATGACAAACAGATTTCAACCTTTGCCTTTCTCATAATTTGTTTTAAAGAGTTTGGCCAATTTATCTATGTGAGAAATTAGGAAAAAAAAATTTATTTGTAGTCAATTTTCTTTAAGTTTTTGATAGGAGTTTTAGAGGTGGGTAGTTTTAGGATACAATATGGCCATGGAAATTTTTGGGTTTTGGATAGTGCACAGATCAAAATAGTACAGTGCAATCCTGTGTATGTTTGTGCATGGGTGTATGTGTATGGAGACTGAATACAGGACAGGGCAATGCTTAATTTTTCTGTCATAGAAATACAGCTATTTCAAGGGCAGGAGAAAGTTCTTGCACACCACACTAAAACTCCAAGTGCAGAAGATACTTTTTCAAAAATGTGAGTACTTTAACAAACAGATATGGCTATTGAGCTTATAAATCTGATACTGTGGCTGGAAATGCACGTGAATTGTACTCTGGGAAACGCATTGCTTATTAAATGGGAAAACCAGACAAAAAGTTAGCACATAAATCTATATGAATCATGAAAACAGCATTTAGAACTTTTCTAGAGGTGTGCAAACTCCAACAGCTTAAGCTTATTTAACTGCTATGTAATGAGCTTTTGGACTATCACAGCAGATTGGTCTGATAAAATTATATTATTGTATACCTACCTATATCTTCTCATAACTTCAGGTCCTGGCATATAACCTGGAGTTGCTGTAGGTGCAACTGGCTCAACATAGAGTTTTGCTGAGCAAATGGCATTTCCTTTCATATTACTAGCAAAGACAGTATAAATTCCTTCATCTTCAGGTAAAACAACAGGTAATCGCAGAGTGGCGCTGCCATCTTGCAGCAGTTCCATGTGGTAGCGCTCTCCATGTCTTATACGTTTGCCATCCTTATACCATGCCACCTGCATGGAAAGAAACAGTAGATTGCTATGTGAGCTCTCCTAAAGGCAAAGATCCACTAATGACTAGTGAAAATAGGATATTACAACTTGCTGGTTTTCAGCTGGAAAACAGCCCACATATATGTGTTAAACATTAACATTTTTACTTGAAATAGGTGAGACTAGTGTAAGATGCTTACATAGCAACCTGAAAGACAAGTTCTGGAGCTAGAAATGGATATAGAGCCCATTTTGATGAAGAGCAAAGTAATCTCAACTGGACTGCTATTGTGTTCCCCACTGGTCTGGGCTACCTCAGAGATACTCAGAATCAAGACCAACTTAATTGGTAAATCCAACCTACTACTGAACTGGCTAACCAACCTAACTCTATTCTATTAAGGGACAAAAGGAAAATTCAGCTTCATATCAAACCAGAAGACTGGATTTCTTTTGAAAGTCACTGTTTCCTATGCATAATGTAGAATGTCTGACAATGAGATGTTAAGGGATTTTTTTCAAGTAAAGCATCAAATTTTTTACCAAAAAAAAAAAAAAGTTATACAGATTTGGGGTACCTTTGGCAATGGATATCCAGATGTCTTGCAATGGAAGGTAACTCCTGTCCCTTCAAAGGTTCTGTAGTTCTTTAATCTTAAATCGAATCCTGCTTCTACAGCTTCAGATTCAGAAATATCAACCATCATCTCCTCTCCATCTTCTTCGAGAAGTTCATGTAAGGTAGTCTTAATAATTCTGAGTTCAATTTCCTTGATAAGTCTTTCTTCAAAAGAAGAAATATGGAATTCCTATAAAGAAAAGCAAGACCATAAAATTAGTTTTCTGTGTCAAATAAGGACCTTGCAAATAAATTATTTGTACAGTAAAATGTTGGTACCCAAAATTAGTATGGAGGGATAGACATACCTCATCTTCCACAAAAGTTCTGACCATCACTGTATCTTTTGCCATTTTCTTCCTAATTAGAGCTTGTTCTTTCTCATACTCTTTTTCAAAGTCGCCATAGGAAATGGGTGGGGCTACCTCAGCCACTTTAGGTTCCTGTACGTATGCAGTCATTTGAGTTTGGTACATCATTTCTTGTTGCGATTTTATGTAGGCTTCGTAATCAGCTAAGAATTGAGAACAGATTAATTTTGATAAATTTTTTGGTTTTCACTGGGCTGAATGGAGAAAACAAGTACAAACTTCAAGGGCCTGATGTCAGACATTTTGTCTTGCAGAAACAGAGCCACTAGATCTTCCTTTAGGTTCCTTGAACTAAATAAACTAAGCTGCAAAGAATTTGCAGCACAATTTAAAATAATTTTTGCCATTTGAAAGTTAATTTTAAGAAATATTGTTCCCATTTCCTTAATCTAAAATGTACCTTCTTCTAGTAAGGAGACCGTTGCAGAAGCTTCTCCAAGATTATTACGAACAACAATAGTGTATTCTCCGGCATCATCGGCAAAAGTCATGGAAATTTCAAGTTTGCATTCCCCGGTTTCTTTTTTGTAACTCACTTTGTATCTATAGAAAACATAAAAGTAAAAAGCCTCTATAATTCTGGACAGAATTTTTAGTTGATTTGCTTTTTGTTACAGTTAGACACACTCCTAACATGTACAAGGCACAAAAAGAGAAACTTTTACAGGTAATTCTCACTGAATGAATGAGCATACAGAGTAGCATATGAAAAATAACCCTTCTGAAAGTAGAAAACTGGTCTTTTTGTTGTCACGAAATAAATAGGTTCCAAACACCAGTACTGAAATATCAGAGGTCTAGTTATCAGACACAGTATAATGGTATGTTCTGTGTGCACACAGTTTGTCCTAGTATGGGTCATCATATCATTTCAAGACTGCACAAATGTAATATTTTTTCTCAGCTAGAAAGTATGCTGCTTTCTACAGACAAGACTTACCTAGAGAGAATGCAAATATTGCACACACGCAGTAAAAGAAATACAAAACTTCTTCCTGAATTGTTTATAAGTATAACATATGAGTATATATATTTTTTTTACAGTCTTTTGAATATTTATATTTTAAAACTTAATGACCTTTTAAAGTCACACATTAAGACATGAGCCTATAACTTTTACATTAAGAAATAATTTATTTCAGAAATCAGGAAGTTATTTGGCTCAGCATAACTGAGGAAATCAAATTATGACATCGCCAATTAAATATGCATAAAAATTATTTTAAGATGGATTTTGGGCAATATATTCACAGTACCTGTAGCCAGTCGTGAGAGGAACTCCACCTTTTTTCCAGTAGACATGTGGCTTTGGGTTGCCCCCTACTTGGCATTCAAAAATAATGCTCCCACCTTCAATTAATTTATGTACCATGGGTTTTCTTATGAAGAAAGGAGGTATGGGTTCTCCCGATACTTCCTCTGCTGCAGCAGAGACATCTTCCATTACAATGTCCTTTGTCTCCACATAGCTGAAATAAGATTTCAGTGCAGGTAAGTGAGCTGATGTCTGAAGCTCTCATGAAACAGAATGCAAGAACGTAATGACTGCAATAGGAGCAGTCTGTTTAGAAAAGTAACTTTACCGTTTCTCTTCTGTAACAGCCTTCTCAGAAATGGTTTCTCGAGTCTCAGTTTCTTCAGTAACTAAAAGGCAAATTTGATAAAGTGGATTTTAAAATGCCTTAATAGGCATTAAGCATTGAGTTCAGTTCACATAAAAAGAATATGTAGTTGTCAGCCTTTTCCTCATATTCTGACATCCCTTTTATCTAATAACCCCAGAACACATCTCGAGCCATATGTTTTAAATGTCCAAGATACATTACAAGCAATATACATTTAACAAAATTATTAACTTCCTACTTTGACAAGAGGGACTGTCCTTGAGTTGCACCAATGGAGGTTTAGTTTGAATATAAACAAACCTTTCTTTAGGTCTCTTTAGGCTGTCAAGGGTTATCAAGCAAGGAACAAGTAGCCCATGAGTCATCTGGGGCTAACTTTTAAATACCTTTTCTACCCTGGAGGTATTTAAAAGACATGTAGAAGCTAAACCTAGGGATATGGTTTAGCGATTGACTTGGAAGTTTTGATTGAAATCAATGCTCTCAAAGGTCTCAAAGGTCTTTTCCAACTTTAACAATTCTATGATTCTATAAATATACTTACCTTTCACATGTAAGTGGCAGGAAGTGCTGACACTCCCAGCCTTATTGGTGGCAGTGCAGGTAAATCTTCCACTGTCCTCTGCAAAGGCTTCACGAATCACAAGGCGAGCAAGTCCTGCTTTGAAAGTGATCTGGAAGTCCATTGAGCTCTCAATTTTGTAGTCTTCCCTGTACCACGTCACTGTAGGCTGAGGATGACCAGATATTTGGCACTCCAGAGTCACAGACTCACCTTCAGTCACAGTCTTATTTTTGAGGCCCTGTGTGACAAAAATTAAGTATCACAGTCAGTATACCTTTTCAATGCTAAACAGATACTCAAATATCTAAGATCTGTTTGAATGGAAAATTTAACATCTACTTCAAAACACTGCTCTGTGAAGCAATGAATGCAGGAAAAAAAAAAAAAAGCATTTTCCAAAGGGAAGTATATGAAACTGGCTTTTAGGGTCTCTGAACATTGCTGTTATTAACAAAATGAAAAGGTAGGTTCATATTTATGTAGGTAGATCAACCTACTATGCGACATAAATGTGAAGAATCACTACTATAAAAAACATCAAGAAGATTTTGTATCAGAGATAAGTTATATGGCTGAATAAATCTAGTGTTAAAAAGATTAAAAGTTAAAATGATCTAAACTTTAAAAGATTAAATAAAGCAAATTTTTTATGGCTTTTTATGGTTAGGTATTAAGCAATAAAAATAGAAAACAGAATGGGTGAAAATCTACTGTAACTCCCCTACAGTACATACAAATTACTTACTGAGACTAAGGTGGGTGGTGTAGCAGGGATTTCTGCAGGTACAGGAACTCTGGCAGTTTCTGTCACCTAGGTTGTTTAGAGGACAATAATGAACAAAGTATAATTTAAATAAGAAAATAAATCAGGTAATATGAACTCTTTGCATGTCGTAAGTAAATATTAGGTCCTAACAAGGATTTGCATAAAACAAATAAAAAATAAAAGGCAGCAGAATGCTTTAGAAGTGGAAAATTGTGATAAGAAGACTGCAAAAAAGTGAGGCTATTCCATATTTTTAAGATGAAAGTCAGTCAAAGTGACAGAAATTTGCTTGAAAACATACCTTTGCTTCACCTTCTTTATGCAGCATCAAGTGTTCTGTCCTCACTGCTTCACTTTTAATGCTTGTCTCCTTTTTAGTCTCAACATCATAGTGACTCTTGTATGTCTCCGCAGCCTCTCCAAAGGGAAACTGTGGAGGGGCAACTGGCTCTGCTTTTGTCCTGACTTCATGAGGCTTTAGCTGAGGTGGTTTCACAGGCTTGGTGATCTTTTGCACGGCAGAAGTAGCTGACAGCTCTTTCTCCAGAGTAGCCATGGCAGTTCCAGCTATTGAAACCTTTTGAACAGAAGAAAAAGAGTTAAAGCTTTGTTGTTGTCTTATTTTCAAAGGAGAGAGTGCATTTCTTGAGCAGATTGCATATGCAGCAGTTGCTTCCTTAGTTACTTGGTTTTGACACTGCAAAAGCCATATGCAAAAAAAGAGTAGTTTTAGATTGCAGTAGTAGAATGCCAGAGATATAATATCCCTGCATTATTTTTGATCTGTCTAACATTTAAATATTTTATTTCAAATAGAATTTGATCTTTACATGGTCAAGAAGCTCTTAAGTGCAGCACAAGAAATGTTCTCTCCATTTCTTTGCTTGAAGCCTTAGATTTCCATTTAATCTGTCTAATACTGCAATAAAGAACACTGCTAATTCTATAACTTCCAATGATTAAAATAACTGAAGAGATTTCAAAATCTTTTTATAGGTGGAAAAAAACCTCTTTAACGTATATAAAAATATTTATAACAGTGTTTAATCATATTTGGGGGAAAATAATTTTTTAATTCCAGATGAAGAGAGAAAGTATGCTTGAATGAGAAAATTAATAACTGGAAAATTTTAATACTATGTAAAGGAGTCCAACAGCAAAATGGAAGAATAACTTTAAAAATGGATGGTATCATGTTATGCAGTCAGTCTGGATTTTTTGTATTTAAAAAATTAGCTTAGCATGTATTAATTAGGAAGGAAGAAAAAAGCAATGTGTGAGTGTGCTGATGCCCATAATAAGATTAAAGAGGGATACTTGTACTCTTTAAAAAATACAACTTGCATGACAAATATCTACAATTTCACTGTATGCCACTAAGTACTGAAGCTGCATCCTCAAACAGTTTATAACATTATTTAAATAAGAAATAATAACAAAAAATTGTATTTTAGCAATTAATTTGTCTGTTTACAGCAGTGTTCCTTATTAGTCAAACAAGCCAACAAAAATAACTGCAAGGAGCATACAACTCTTCCTCTTGGGGAAGCACCACACTGGAGTGTGGGGGGAAAATCCAAATGGATTTTTCCAAATGGAATGGATGATCTATGGAAAATGAGCATGCTGTTCCTCTTGGATACACCTTCAGCTTACCTCATACGTATGATCTGGTTTAGGAACAGCAACTCGGGAGACCGTGAAGTGAGGACTTGCCGTGCGAGGCCGTGGCGGTTCAACGTGAATTGTTTTCTCAAGCTCTGTTGTTCTTTTTATCTACACAAAATAAGGAAAAAAGTTGTTGAAAGTGATGCTGCTCCTTAAACCGAAACAGATTTCACTGGGACATAGTTTCTGGAAAAGAGTGTAATGTAAAAAAAGAGTCTAACCTCTTTTGATATATGAACTTCCTGCTTTTCAGGAGTTGAGATATGTTTCTCAGGAGGAACATAGACTGTTTTGACTTCTTTGGTGACAACATGACGTTCTGCTGGGACCTCAGGACCACGGTCTGTTACAGTGCGCTCTTTATAACCATATTCCAAAGTTTTCTCCTTTACATAAGCTTCATCTGCTTGTTCTGGTTGCCAGGGTGATCGAACACGTGCCTGATCAACTGCTGCAACGACTGTAGCTACAGCTTCAGCCTTTTTTCCAGCTTGAGTCTGCAAATAACATCAGCAGAATTTAAACATATTCATAATTATATTGAAAACTTGTATATATGACAAACAGTTACAATGTTGAGTATATTCCAAAGAGAGGTTGTATGGTTTTGCGAAAGTCATGATGAGAAGATCAAAAGTATGCACCTGTAAATACACTTAAGAATCAGTAAATTCAAATGCAAATATATTCTCTGGTATCTCTGCACATTCAGAATATATCTGTGCTTCTGTGTTTTATGCATATCAATATTTGTCTGCAAGACTAATTTTAGTACTTTACAGCCACATTTGTGCCCACTTGTCTAAGAGTATGCAGGTAGGTAAATGTGCACATAGTTTTAAAGTATGCCCATCAGCTCCATGTAACTCTTGTGGATGAAAAAAATGCACCTAGCATCTGTCTTGAATGTATTTACTAAGAAACAGACCCATAAAAATTTTTACATCAGATATAGCTGTTAATTCAGTACTGATCTATTTTAAAGGATTTTACAAAAGAAGGGAGACTGAGATGTCTGATAATTTGAAAACAATGTTTTTGTATCAGGGCTACTATTTGTTTCTAATAACTCATAAATACTGTCAACTTTGTTATTAGGGTCCAAACTTCTGCCTAGTCAGCCAGTAGCAGATAATAGTGGCTACTACTACAGGTTGTTATTACTGTCATGACTGATCTGGATGTAGCAACAGAGCATATGATATGTATGCCTTGCAAATGGGAAAAAAAAAAAACCTAATGGATAATTTCATACTGATTTTAAAACCATTACCAGCTTAAACTAAATTTATTTAGGTGAGGCCAAAAAGTGATCCTTTACAGAGATTTTGTTTTCTTATTAAAGCAGTATTTGGGTAACAGGGACCTCTTTTTCAATACTACTGTCAGTTTCCAAATAATTTTTTATAGTGGCTTGAATTTGGCCCTAAATTTACATCATATAACAAGGGACTAAACTCACCTAGCAGTCTGACTTCTCTGAGTGAATTTTATACACTTCGCTCATTTACTTATATTTTATAAGAGTATTTTATGAATGTACTACACTGCAGGTAGATTTTAAATAACAGCTGTTGTCAACTATGCTATTTTTCCACATGTAAGAGTTCCTGACTGTTTTGTAGATCTTTCCTACTGTGTGAATGCTACTGGAACAAAGTAGTGCCAAAAAGTGTCTGATTGTCATAAGTAACAGACTGGACAGACCTGAATGGATGTTAAAGTTTGTTTTGTACAAAGAACAATTCATATCTCAATAAAGAGAAGTTGTTTCATCTGACAACCATGAAGTTACAAGGAATCATCAAGTAGAAAAAAAGATTGCAGAGTCAGAAATCTGAATAAGCAAATGTTGCTTAAAAGCCAGTGACAGAGAGGAGACTGTCACAGAGAAATCAGACTATAGCCTAAAGTGTGACATTTCCTAGCAGGGTGGGATATAAACCTCTTCAGCACTAGAAACTTAATCCTACTGACTCTTTTACTCAAAAATCATCCCACTGAATGGGTATGTTTTCAGGAATAAATTTGAGAACAATCTGTTGTACCAAAGTAGTCTTAAAATTTAAGGTTTTCAGATAAACCAAATTGTAACAGTGCATTGGCTGTAATTTCTTCCCCAGTTCTGGACACTGACTGGTGCTTTGGTTTTAGCAGTGGCAACTGTTTTTGGAACTACAATAGTTTTCTCAGCTTCCTTTTTAATCTAGTTTTTATAGCAGAAATAAAAGTTTCAGTTACATTCAGTCTTGAAAGATATTTGAACAATGAGAAAACATTTTGAAATGAGAGCAGGGAAGAAGAATTGAAGGGTTAGATCCTTGGCACTGCACGCATCTCTGTGTTATGTGTATAGTGATAAGTATTGTTATACCCTTGCACCTATTTAAATAAAAGCAATGATTAAAAAAAAAAGTTAAAGTGCATCTCAGGAGTCAGTCAGTCCACTCCAAACATCAGTCAGAAGATAATTATGAGCAATGAAAACAAGAGAGGAAGATCAAGATGAAATAATTTAGTCTAATTAGCAGTAGGTCTAAAAGTTTGTAAGTGGAATAATCTTAGAAAAAATGAGCTGGAAATGTATAGTTAGTATTTTTTGAGGAAAACAGGAGGTTTGCAAAGAAGAAAGGATAAAATCCAAATGTGGCTAAAACAGTGCTATTCACCTTTTCACGTGTTATGCTCACTTGTTCTTGTTTGGTGGCAACTCTTTCTTTACTTTTCGATATTATGACCGGTGCTTTAGGTTTATCAGTAGTAATTACTACTTTAGGTACTGAAGGTTTCATTTCTTCCCTTCTTATCTATTTTTTATGGTAAAGAAAAATAATAGTAATTGATTATGCCTGTTGTCATGATTACACAACTTTTTTGGAAAGCAGGATAATGTTTCTAGACGTATATCAAGAAGAAAGAAACATGACTTCAGAACTGGAGTAATACCTTTGTACTCATAGCCCATCTTATATGCTGAGAGAAGTTCATGCAAAGTCATTCATATATTTTTATTTGAATGAGAAAAGAAACTTTGTACTTCCTATTTTGTAATAGATCATTTTGTTTTGTAGAAACTGTTTGCATAGAAATTAGTATTATTGACTTAATAGCTAACCCCATCAGTTGAGTGATTCCACAATATGGTCTAACAGATGTATTCAATCCTCACACAAATATGAACTTCATTAAATCAAGCTCCACACTACATATCATACTCTGAAAAATAACCTTTAAAATTTATATTCAGAAATCTATCTTCAGGGATAAATTTGTCATTAAGCATCAGACGAAATTCTATGTACTGTGGCAATAAAAGCCCTAATGCTTGAAGGATCTGTAAGAAGGGCAGCTCACTCCTCTGCAGACAGAGCTGTTTGAGGTCAGTAGCACTGGACCTGCAGAGATGTGGTCTGGAATACCTTGTTTCACAAAGTTTTTGCACAGTAATCTCTTCTTAAAGAAGGACAGAAAAGTTATTTAACAGATTTTATAAACCAGAGTATCTCAATGAAGTAAAGATTGTAATATTTAGTTACCTGTTCATGAGCAATGTGCACTTGTTCATGTCTGGTAGATATTTCTTCTCTAGCTCTTGCTATTCTTTCTTGTTCTTTGGCTTTGTCTGTGGCAATTATTACTGTCGGTACTGGAGTTTTCTCTGGTTCTTTTCTCACCTGGACATTTACAGATAAGGAACTTTTTATTTTTATTTTAAGATATAAGGTATGCGATTTTATATTTGGAAAAGAGCATAGAAAGTGAGCAAAGATGTCACATTCTGTATTTTGAAATCATCTAGTCTGGAAACAACAATAAAAACATAAACGGACTTTGTACAAAACATTTAACATAAAAATAATAAAACATTGCACAAATGCTTGGTTTGCTTCTGAAAGCAGTACTAAAAAAATTGGCTCAGAGAAAAACTGTCCTGCATTAAAATCACTTTAAGAAAATGCAAGATATTAAAAATAAGTTTTACAAAACTTTCATTTGACAAGACTTCAAATGCTAAATTCAGATTAATGCCCAGGTGGATTTCTGTTTCTCAGTGCTTTAAAGAGAGGTTACACTTTCTTCCTCACACATTGCTACTATAATGAAAATGTAACATTGGCTATAATCATCTTTCATTAAATCACAATTTTTCTGATAAAACACACATTAAAATAACCTGAATTCAAATCACTCATTTGTATTTTCAAAATTTATTTCAATGCAGAATGAGTTTTTCCTCCATTTTTTCTGACCCCCTGTGCTGCCAACAGACAAAGCAGGCTACAAATGGCAAGCTTAGAGACAATATCAGAACACCCCCCCACAGACACACCCGGCCCCCAGCTAAATTTAAGAGCTTGTTTCTACATCTCAATTCTTTAAATGATCAAGAATGCTATCTAGTAAATTACTATATGATATATGAGAAAAGAGAGGTTTGTCTTGGTTATTGCAACTCTATCGATCACATTCTTCGGTATAAATAAAAATGGAAGTGAAATAAAAAACGAAAGAGATTAATCATAGAGAAGAGACAGGAAAAAGATGGCAGTGTAAACTGGAAGAGTGAACATATATAAAAGGGACAAATAATAACAGTATCTCATTTTTCTTCTTCATAGGCTTGTCTTTTGTAAGAGATATCAGATTTTTTGAACAAGGTAGGGCATAGAAAATCTCAGGTACAATCTGTATTCACCTTTTCAGGAGAGATGTGTCTTTGTTCTTGTGAAGTTACAATTCCTTCTCTAGTTCTTGATATCACTGTTTGTTTTGTGGCTTTATCACTGGTAACTACTACCATTGCCTCCTTTTTCATCTGATTTTTGTAACAACAAACAAAAAAAACCAAAGCCTTAGAATTAATTTTTAAAATGTGATCATCAAAATAAGAGGAGAAAGAAAAATAAGAGAGTAATTCAAGTAAAGGAAAAATACCAAGGGAGAATTATGTTATTTCTAGTGGGGAAATTATAAATGAGATATTAGAGAAAAAAAATTCATCATTCTAAGAATAATGTTAAGAGAATAAAGGAGAAGAGAGAATAGAGGATCACTTTCAGAGAAAGCATCCTTAAACCAAAAAAGAGTAATTAGTTCAATCCTGTTATGATGGAATGCAATGGTGTAAGTGAACCTGAGCATTCCTTTAGTCTGGGTGTTCTAGATGAGTATGCATGCTTTTGCAGTGCACTGGGTAACATCTTGTTAATTCCTCACAGTGAATCATGCCTTGTTTGTGTGTTGGATGAAGGGATAAAGGGAAATCATAGAATATCTGTGCTCTATTTCTACCTGCTCATGAACAGGCTGAACGTGGACCGCAGTCATTGCTGTCCTTTTAGCAGTTTGCTCTGCAACACCTGGAGCTGGTTCTCTCACCATGGCTTGATCCACAGCAGCAACAACTGTAGCAATAGCTGCTGTTTTTTCACTGTCCTTTCTCACCTATATTAGTCACATCAAAAGACATTTTTTCATATTTTGCATACATTCAGAAGAAGCACAAAACAAGTACAGAGACAAGAGTGTTGCAAATAAGCATTTCCAGATCTGCAGCAGAACTCTCTCAGCAGCAGATGCACACAAGGTTTTACACATAGCCTCTCAGATTCCATTCAGCAGATCTATCCAGCAGTGGTGAGACCCCACACAAACCAAACCCAGTATTTTTTCCAGAAACAGACTTTACCTCTCTAGCACCAGTGGCCACCTCACCAGCAGCAGCGCCAGTAACAGTAACTTGTTCTTGGGCCCCGTATCTCCCTTCCCATCTTTCTTCAGTGACTTGGGTAGTGCTTGTAGATACTCTTGTTTCCTTCATCTGGGCTTCCATGGTTCCAGCATATCCTTCCTGCTTCCAAGGAGGAAGGACATCAGCCCCAGCTGTTGTCACTACGTGTGGTTTACGGATTGGAGATGGAGATTTCACTGGTCTGATAGGTGACGTGGAGATTCTCCCAGCAGGAGAAACTGACCTATTTTTTTTTTTAAAAAAAGGAGTAACAATATCATTAATCTACTGCCACAGAGTGATAATTATATAAACAACTTCAGCCTGAACTTGAACTCACTGCCCGTACAGGGTATCTCCAGTAATGTGTAGTTTCATTTTAAGAAAGGTTTTTGAGAGGCTCTACTTGTAAATTGCACTAACTTGTTTTTTAAACATTATGTTTAACTGCTGTCATTCTCAGAACTTCAACATGTCTTTGTAGTAGCTTAGTTTCCAAAAAGGAACAGGAACAAGCGGCAAAAGAAACTTGTCAGCCAAATATATTTGAAATATAAAAATGATTTTGCATTTGCTCTACCCTAATTCTTCTAATAGGAATAATACAAAAGGCTCACAAGCTTCACCATACATTCATGGTCCAGTCTCTGTTGAGAGACAAAACCATAATTGTGACCAATCTCGAGAAAAATGTCATGTGGCAACCACCTAGCAAAACAACTGGATGTACTTCTGTATGACATCTTATTTTCTTGTGTCACCCATATATGTACCCATAATCCAGGCAAATTTCTCATCAGTGCCTAATATTTTTCCCTGCACTTACATTTACGGATCTCAGACACAATAGTTTATATCCACTTGGAAAGTGCTAGTTTCTAAACTCTGATGTTCCAAAAATTCAGTCCTAAACCTAGCAGACAGTTTTAAAGCATTTTCCAAAATTCTTAAACAGGCTTTCTAACTTAGAATTTCTTTGAGTGGAATTTTTTATGCTGTACTTTCCAGTGAACGTTAACAAATAGCAGCAGTAGGGGGCAGCAGCATCATATTAATTTTTAGATTTAGTTTTTTATAACGTCTTGTATGTCTAAAAGTGTTCTGACTAGCATGGGAGGGCAAATTTCTAGTTCTGTATGTGCTCTAGATGTCGCTATTGAATTCCTTTCTCATTTATGCAGTTTTTAAGTTACTAATAGTTGCTATTGATCCATTTATTCCTGTCCTTGCAAGTTATTATTAGTGGGGTAAAATTGACCAGCACACCCAACTCTGGCAACTTAAATGGGGTTCTTCTGAGCATTCAGCTTGAAGACATTCCTTCCATGATGCTGGTGCTTCAGGATACTGAAACTGCAAGACTTTCAAAACACTCTGCTTTACCTGCCCCTCAGCACAGACCTCATGGTGTCTCCCAGACCACGAGCCTTGCTCTTCAAATCACTCACTTTCCCTCTCTAGACCTTCTACACAGTGGAGATAAACTTCATTTTTCCATAATCACATTTAGCTTGCCTACTTTCAAAATATTATTTCTGTAGTTGTTACCAGCACACACGTGGAACACGAGCTCAATTTTTTTTTTACATATCCTTTAATTCTGTTTGCCACTCATCAGTGTCATTGCTCTTTTCTCTGTTCATCTGAAGTAATCAAGAGCTCGACTGTTTTTTTCTGTTTCATTATGAAATGGAGCTGTGAGTGCTATTTTGGCTCTATGTAGAGCAATCAAATGGGATTTTCTACAACAGGGATAGAAATCTACATAGGTAACCCACACTTCTGTAGCAGTGGCAAATGTAGCAGGTTACAGCTCACCATCAGAATAAATGCAGTCATTAATAACTAGGTTCATTCTTTCATTTCATACTGTGCTCTCATTCTACAGCATTATTTCTATATGCAAAAGTGATTACAAAAGCAATATTACCCAAAATAATAGTATTTTACCTTACTGGTGAAGGTGTTGGTGCTCTGACATGTCTTACAGGTGATGGTGATTGTCTAACGGGCGACGGTGATTGCTGTCGTGCCATTTGTGCTTTTGCAGCAGTTGTCGGGGTTGGTGATTTGGATGTAGGTCTAGGAGGCATTCGTGGAGGTGCCTTGTGTGGGAGCTGTTGGGTGGTTGCACCTTCTATAATCATTTCAACACTTGTAAGTGATCTGGCATCAAAGTGGGCTTCAGTCTTCTACAATGAAAAACAAGAAAAGGAAAACTAGGGTGAGGGACTGTAGAAGTAATCCTCCACATTTTAGCCATACCTGCTTTGTTTCTGAAAATTATACCTTTTCAATTCTGGCTTGTCTTGTTTGTGAAATCTGAGCAGTCGAAACAATTGTCTTTGTCTTTTTAGCAGGAACGGCTTCTTCCTCGCCTTTTGAAAGAAAACGCAGTCAGCAGAATTGCATATGGCAACAATCAATAAACAGAGAAATGAATGAATGGTCAACTCCAATTATATAGAAATTTACATATACAACAGAAAAATAATTGAACAACCATCTGTTTTACCTTCAATATCTACAGACAGATAATTGGGAAAACAGTTGAAACAATGTTACTGCATTACCAAGTCATTAGAAAAAACTCAAACAAAGCAAAACAAAATACATTCATTGTAGATTCTTCATATCAATCCTGGATCTAAAATGATCACAGAGAATCTAAGCCTGACTGAGGTGAAATCCAAGCAAGGCTGCTCTGGGTAGCATGTTTCCCTGCCACAATTCTCTAAGAACTGTCTTCATCCATACCAGCCTCCTTCACAAGACTAGGTGCAGCTAAGTCTAATTTATCTATTCTATCAAAGCCAACTTACAAATAAAACTGATTGACAGATTTACAGACCAAAATGAGAACAACAAAATGTATCAAGGTATCCCACACTTTTTCCATCAACTATATCCTCTGCTTAAAGAAGACCCATTCTGGAGAAAAGGTCCTTTTAAATCTCAGACAAAAATATTTGGCAAATTTCAAAAACATTGCTTTTTTTACAGCAAGTTAATAATTCTTGAGAAAGAAATTATAAAGTAACTTGTTGATATAACTGCAATGAAGTGGTGCATATTTCACCACTACCATTAATGCTCTGATTTTCATGGGGTGCAGCTTCAGCTCTGTTACCTTGAATTAGCAATTCAGCTGTTGAAGTAGCACGTCCCACACTATTTGTGGCATTTACGGAATAGGTGCCGGAGTCTTCAGGATATGCTTCTGCAATTATTAAGCTGTAAAGGTCTCCTTCTTGTAAAATTTTAAAATCGGGGGAACTTTTAATTTCTACTCCATCCCGATAGAACTTCACCACAGGTGTAGGGATTCCAGTCACTCTCACGTCAAGTCGAACTTGACTTCCCTGTCTTGCAGTCATGCTCTGTAGTCGTTGTGAGAAGTTTGGTGGTGCTGTTGCAGCTGCATTTTTATTGAAGAAGTAAATAGAAAAACAATAGTGTCTGTTAAAAAGAATGGCAAGTACTAGATACTTTCATTACTAGAAGTGTGTGAGGTCTATTTCTTATCCACATGCTACTGACAGATGATAGTACCTTCTGAAACATTCAAAATATTATTTTTGATTACACCTATGATTGCAAATGTTTCTAGAATTACACATACGTTGCTTGTAACCATAGGCATTAAGCATAGTCTTTTGGTATGGCACTTTATGTGACTTATTCTGTTAAATACCATTGATAGCATTAGATATCACTAATGGCTCCATCCTGCAGAACATCCTTTCTCTTATGATCAATTTCAATGTAGCCAGCACAAGAGACCATAAGGAGCTGCATGTATAAGGGCTGAGCCAGAAGCTTGTAATCATGAATAAGAGTTTGTAAAATTAAACTTTACACAGTTAAAATGTAAAGGACGCTGTTAGACATTACAGGTGAGAACACATGCTGAGTACTATGCTGCTTTAGGAAAAGGAATGTGGTTTGCTATTTTTTGCTGATCATGTACTTGAAATCTGAACTATTTCCTTATGAGTTACTCTTCCATCACTCCCTCAGACTGCTAGCAGGCAGGGAGAGGTGTTTTTCTGTAGCTGCTGTGTACCTGTGACAAGCAGCTCAGCAGTACTAGTCGCTTGCCCAGATCCATTGGTGGCTTGCACAGTGTATCTCCCGCTGTTGGCTTCTGTCACGGTGGGGATCACCAGTCTAGCGCGGCCATCACTAAACGAGATCTGCACACCGGGCAGAGTTGCAGCAGAGAGAACCTGGCCATCCCGAAACCAGTTCACCTCAGGAACTGGGAAACCTACAGAAAAAGGAAGAGAAACGGAGATCAAGACATTATGAAATGCCAGACATAAAAAATTAGCATGTACACACAGTTGTGGTGGAGCATAATGCCATAAGCACACATATATGCCCAGTGGCACAGTGGCAAAGGAATTTGGTTTTAGAAAGGTCTCTAAAATGCACAGAGCAATACGGCAGCTGCACTGGCTCCTGCATTTAGTAAATCACTTGAATAATGAGAAAACTGTAGTGTTTAGCAATCTTACTAAGAAATAGAAGTTCATCAAATTCATGAGGAGGATGAATTAATTCATGTGAGGTATTTTTGAAATGTATTTGCTAGTATCTAAGTAGGATTGATTATTGCTAATGTATTTATCCATTCCAATAGTCTGGAGATAATGTACAGATCAGTACTTCCAACCAAATGAAACATATGTTCTAAAACTACTATGGCTTTAGAAAATGAAGCGACAGAACAAGTGACTGCTCGAGACATTATAATCAGATGCTAGCAAAGTTTTGGGGGTTTTAATTTATTTTTCTAGAATTTTTTTGAGTTTGATCAACAGCAGTCATCTAGAATCAACAGCTGCTCAAATAACATTATTCTTTTTTGTCAGGGTCATGAGCAAGAGTCTTTGGGTCAGAAAAATTTCAATTTAACGACAGCTGATTTTTGGTTTTAAATGGTGATTTTAGACTGCCTGCGGAAATTCTCCTCTCAGTGTTCTGCTCAGCCAAATTTATTGAGCAACTTAAATCCATTCGATGAACAAGTAAAATTCTTATATGAACCACATAAGGAGAACAGGTAATTTAAGGAGATGGTTTCAGCTCAAAGTCTTTTTTGTAGTTCTAGAACATTATTTCTTCAAAATTAAAATCCTCCCAAATTCACTTCATGTATATCTCCACTCAAACCAAATCACCAGTTGCACTGCATGGGGGCTAAGCAATGAGATCTGAGACTGCATTTACAGATTAATTAATTTTCCTCTTTCTAATGTCTGTGGTTTGGAAAATCCCAGGTGCACAGAATTCTGCTTCCTTTCTAGATTATCCTTCCTATAAATGGAATAAATTATTAGGGAATTTGATGTGCAAGGAAAATGACTGTGTGAGACTAAAGTGAAAGAGAAGCTGATATGTAGATTGAGGCTTTCACTGGTTCACTGCAGTCCCATCAGACTTGGTTAGGAAAGTTTAAAATCTTATTCACAGTAAAGCACTGATATTTAGAGAAACATAAAACAGGAACACACACAGAGAAAGAAAATGTGGACAGTTTTAGGAAAGATTAGAAATCAAAAGGGTAAAAGTATATTTAAGCATTGCTAATTTCACAGATAGAAGTTATCAAACAGTCCTGATGGGATGGTATAATTCAATTTTGTGCTATTGGTGTAGGGCAACTTGGGCATTATCATCATAAACTTAGAGTATGCAGCAGACACCAGTGATTTAATTCAGAACTATGTGTCTTCAATATTTGTGAAAATTAGTTTGAAAATGTTTTAAGCTAGGCAGCCTCCCAAATCATGTCCTCAGTAGTGAATTTCTTGAAACATTGTCAAAAGTTCTATTTTCTTGCAGTGGTATTATATGATGATTAGCAAAAATGGGAGTTTCTGTGGCAGGTTGAAAAAGGCCTGCACTTTTAAAATAGAGTCTATTTTGATGTCTCAAACTGCTGTGTACAAGGGATCCAAAGCTAGAAGCCATTTTAGAAATCTAAGCCCAAGTTTGTATTTAAAACTCAACTCCACAAATTTACTAGCACTCTGCTAGTCCCAGGTCACAGAGCTAGGTAAGATCTAACTCGGATTATAGATATCTGTGCCCAGTCTATATGGAGTAGGGTTTTACTTCTACATGTCCCAAATACACTATGATTTGACTGTCAATGATTAGGACAATTCTTTTTCATTTTTAAACTGTCCTTCAGGTTTTTTGAACTTTAATACCAAAAAGAAGAAAATCGACCTGTAATGCCTCAAATTCACCACTTAAGTAATTGGATTCAATAAGATTGTCCTGACAACGATGTGAGAGGGACTGCCAACTTGTGTATGATCTGTGTGCTGCTTTCAAAAACAAGCTCTACATAAATGCTGTCTTGTGCTGAGTAATACCTGAAAATACCAGCTCAAGAAAGGTAAGCAGTGCACAGGTTAATTCTTTACGAAAAAATTCAAACTTGATCAGTACTGTGGAGACATGAGCTTGGCACAGTTCTAATGCCAGCAACAGTTCTGACTTTCTTGTCTCATGACTCAGTCACTGGTGACCCAGTAGGACTCCCCCTGTGACAGTGTCCTGGCTGCTCTGGCATTTGCTGCTTTTAATAACAGGGTTTGTGTGTTTTATGCTTTCTGTTACGTGCTGGGTATATTCATCTGATATCATCCCTTTGTAATGGGACACTTAATTCACATTCTAATACAGCAGCACTGTTCATTTGTTCTAGTTTACACATGGCAAAATTACATCTCAGGTGGTTGCTAAGCTCTTCTTGATACTCTTAGATTAACTGAGCTCTTCACATTTGAACTGTAGCTCTGTATTAATACTTGATTTGTATAGACCAGTGTAAATAGAGATAGAGAAAAAATCTGATTTTTAAACGCACAATAATTCATTGCAGATAGAAAGGGTAGACATTAAAGTAGGATGAAGCTGTGTAGTCCTTTATTTATGCAATTAGGTGTAGTAAAAACCTTTTCTGTTTTTTGTGTTCTTGAAAACTAAATGCCAAGCCACTGTCAGATCTTTCAAACCAGGAGGATGTTTTTAGGGCAGGAAGGATACACCAGACTCTCACAATGCGGAAAAAAACCTAACAAGAGGCTGACTCACAAGATCTTTGAAACTAACATACAAATATGGCATATGCTATTAGAAATACTGCTGTATCTTCACTTAGTAAGAAATAAAGTTCCCCTCCCAGTACTCCATAATATCACACAAATGAAATTAGCCAAAATCACACTGAATAATAATACTAGCCTCCTAACTAAAAAAAAACCACAGAAAATTTACAGTGCAGAGGCAAGAAGAGAAAATCAGGGCAATTAACTCAAGAATAGAACATGGCATGAAAAAATGTCACAGATGGAGACTGCAGGACATGTTCAAACACCTTGTGTGAGCCTGTGTCATGCAAAGGGACTAAGGTATGAAATACATGGACCATAGATGTCAGAGATCTTTATAGTTGCACAGATCATGTGTTTGCACCTGTCACAGAGCATCTGAGTAGTGCTTTATGGTATGTGGATCATCACATTGCTAATGCCTGTAAGACAATATAATTCCACCAGCAGGAACACGTGTCATTTCTCCTTAGTCACTGGCGAGGTCAGAGACACTTAGAACAGGGTGTTGGGTCTCTGGTAATGCTATCTCAGGGGTTTGCTTGGTGTTTTGCACAAGACAGGGTGTTTGAATAGTATGTAGCCTGGAGAAATCAAGTATCCTTTAAATTGCATGGTATCTTAAAATTGCACAGGTAATTTATGTTAATCCAGCCTTGTGCTAACATCATGATCACCATACACATCTATTTTTTAGCTTACTAGGGTTTTCTGCCCTCTTCAGTGGCCAGTTGGGCCTAGATTTTTTGCTTTTAATCCCCATCTTAGAACTCTGGAATTAAGTAAATTTGAGGGCACAGGAAGCAGAAATACAGCTTAGATAGAGTAAAGCTTAACAAAAGTTCTTGGAAGAGCTGGCATAAACCCTGATTTGTACCCTGACTTCTAATTCTGCCCAGTCATCATCCAAATGAGATTATCCTTTCTGCAGACACATGAAGTTCCCTTATTAGCACAGTGAGTATTTTTATGCATATATATTTAAAGGAGCTGTTCAGCACTCTATGACATGGATATATGTCCGTATTTCAGCACTCATCTTTACCCATTCATACCAGATTATGATCTATGAAAAGTGTCATCATTTTTCTTAGCATAAACATTAGAAGAGAAATCAGTGCTAAACAAGAACAAATCTTGGAAGAATGAATCAAAACCTTACCACTAATATGAGCCTCAAAGGTTGCGGCACTACCCTCCAGTGCCACAACACTTTGTAACGGCTGTGTAAATGTTGGTGCTTTCGTCGTCATCTTTACAGGCACTCTGCAAGCAAAAAGACCCCATCATTAGACATCAATGGTGAAAATGTTATTATACCCACACACTTCTTGCAAGACTTTAAGAATATATGTAACTATTCTCTGAATTTACTCTTCTCAGTTTTAAATCAGAATGACCTGGTGAAATGAAAAGATTGTGGGTTTTGACAAATTCGTACAGCAAATTACTCTTGGAACATGCTTGGCTGCATTGGATGGGAAACCATTCTATTTAGTGGAGCTGTGCTTTGGCATTGCAAGTATGCAACAGGAGACAAAATTCTGCTTGACTCACTGTGTGACCTTCCACAGGTCATTCAGGCTGCCTCTCTTTGTCTACTAGCTTGTTTTATCTGACAGGAAAAATTACCCTGGGTAATTTTAAAAAATATTTTGGTGGTGCAAAATATTTGCATTCTGCAGTGACAAGACAAATAGGTCACTAAAAAGCAATTGAAAGAAATGTGGAAGTCTATAATGTATTTAGCTTAATAATGCAAATAATGCATTACTATTAAATTATTAACAATAATATAATAAATGTTGCATTATTAATAATGCAATAATGCAAAAAATACCAAAATACTCTATTTTAAAAGCACTCTAAGTAGTGAATAATTTCACTTTACAGAAGTATTAAAGACGCAGATAAAATTCTCCTCTTTCTTAGAGAGTATCTCAGTGGAATTTTGAATATGGAAAGACAGCCACCTTCGAAATGTGAGCTAGGATATAAAGTAGCCACTGACACTGATGGCTTGAACAACTGCAAAGCCATATGAAATCTGAAAGAAAGTTTGCTTTCTCTTGTTATGCCACAAGATCCTACTTTGAAACAACACACTGCCACTAGAAAAGCTTGTGTGTTGATATTTTATATTTGCATGACCTATTTATTAATTGATGTTGAATTGTGCAGTTTTTAAAAAGGTAGCTATTATCTTCTTAATATTATCATACATTTTCTCATTAAAAATTTCACTCAGAACATATCTGGTATCAACAAACAGAAAAATCCCACAATATTTCAAGGCAAACTTACATCTTAACTTCCTTTTACTTTTGCTCTTGTGCCTGATTTTGTGACAGTCCCAAGCTTAAATTCAAAAAGGAGAAAGTGAAGTTTCTATCACTATGAGTCAAATTTATTCTACCTCTCACAGGGGTGAAAATTCTTCATTACATGGGTTCCTTCATAGAAATCAGGGCCTGATGCATACATGCAATAAGAGCATAAGTGCAGAACTGGGTATTGAATTGGGATTTTCAGGTTCAGTTATGACCATGTTTTGAAGCTTGGCTAAAATAAATGGGAATAATTTTACAATACAATTAAACATCATGAAAGCTCATGAATATATATATATGTAGTTTCCAGAAGAGATCAGAAATAATTTAATTAAGGATAATTTCCACTGAGATCCCGCAAAGTTTCTATATTTCATTGTCCAAGCAAATTCTGGTGATGAAGATCTGATCTTATAAGGCTTCTTGTATAATTAGAATTGAAAGTATGCATCTAAAATGTCATGTTCCAGAAATAACCTTCGCAGCCATGAATGACAGCAGACAAGTGTTCCAGAGCTACCATGTAACTGATACCTTAGCAGTTGTTTTCCTTAAAAAGTCATCAGCACTTAGCTGATACCATGTGCATTTTATCAGAGCTATTCTTGGAGCTTCTCAGTTTATCTCTTAGCAGCATAACCTTGAACACTCCCAAGAGAAAGGAGTTTTTAAGTTAAGCACATGTTTCCATGCATCTTAAAAAGCTTAATTTATGTGGTCTTTATAAATAAAATACACTGGAAAAAAAACATTTTTGCTGAGAGTTATCAAAGCTTACTCCAGAAATTAAGGCTATAACCTTGACAGAGAATTTAAGTGTTTCATGTCTATACCCTGAAATCTAAAACCCCCGTGAGAAAATTTATAAATAATAGATTGTATCAGAATTATTAATGACTGATAAAACACTTATTACACCAGCAGAAACATGCTACTAACCTGATCTCTCAAAGTGCCTGCAAGAGTGGGCTAAGCCCAACGAAATCTTCTTGAACGACGTCCTTATCCAGAGTAAGATTTTTTTAGACAATCCCAGCATGAGAATTGAAGAGCCTCTAATCATAAAAACAAAACTACACAGTCTTGACAGTGTAGTTTTGTTTTTTTGCAATCCCTACACCCGAGGCGAGGCGGGGAATGCACGACTGCTCAGAAGTGCTAACATAGTTGTTTCGCTTTATATACCCCAGCTCTGCTGACACGTCTGCCTCATCATGTCGGTGCCAGTTCTGATTGGTTTCCTGAAAGAAAGTTTCTTGTGAGAGGGGATTCACTCTCTGTAACCATACACCACCTGTTGGTTTTGACTGACAATGCTAATTTTGGAGGCACAAAAGGGATTCACTAAGGAAGCCTCAGCCGTTCCAAGGCTTTTGATTTATAATTCAATTTAGTTTACCAAGTGCAGTTTACATTGTAAATTTCCTAATTCATAATCACAGGACAAAGAAAGCAATAAAAAGCATTTTAGCAAGGCATATGGACAAGTGAGATTCAGTCTTACTTTTTTTCATTATAAAACATCCAAGAAGCCACACCAAATGCATATGTCAATCACCAGACTAAATAAGTAAGCTGAGCTCAGACAAGTGGCTGCACTTGCTCTATTAGCATAAACCATTTAAACTATTTTTTCCTGTAACTTTGAATTGTAAAATTTTGTTTGTTAATATATAGATTTCATTCTCTAGGGTTGTTTTTGTTTCCTTCACAATTTTTCTGTTGGATGTTCCAAGCAGTTCAGCATAACACACAGTAGCATACAATGTGCAGAAACACAAATTTTGTGAAAGTGAATTAACACAGACAAATTCTGTCATTTTTAAGAAAGAAGATTTTAAGTCTAAAAGCTTTTTTCTAGACCTGTGTAGGCCTTGTGCAGACCTCAGAACAATATGGAACAGCACACTGTTCCATATTGTTTATTCCACTGGTTTATGAACTTCAGTAGCCCAGCTTTGTCACTAAGCGGCTGATTGTGCTTTTAGAGAGGCGGTTTCTGAAACAGACATCAGAGTTAGAAAACTACTCTTGTTTATGGGTGGAATGGGAGGTGTTTTACCACACCATCTCATCTGCCTAGCTCTATTCTTGCCTATCTAGCAAACTCTTTAAGCACATAACTGGCACATAAGACTACTTAGAATTGCTTGCTTAAAAGCAAGCACGTGCTTAGCTGGTTTGGTAAAATGAGGACTTCAGTCTGTGGTTACAAAGTTCCACATCGAAATGGACCTCCCTGAGAACACCCAGATAAGTAAACACAGACTGGAGTTTTGTGCTATCAGCTGCACTTGTGTTTGAAAACAACCTGAGGGAAGCCTCCAGCAAGAGAGGCAGAAAATGCCAAGGAGAGAGAGAGGGTTTCGCTGCTATGATTCCTGCAAGGGAGTCCTAATGTTATAGTTTGCAGATCTGGAAGAAATAAGAACTGACATATTGCTGCGATCTCATAAAATAACTTCAGAAATTTGATCTGAAAGTGAATTCATCCATCCCATAAGGTGGCAACTTCATGGCTCTGGGCATGCAGCAGTAGCAACAGCAGCACAAACTGGAGGAGCAGTCTCTACACTGGTACTGCCTGAACTCTCACAGCGGCTGAAAGTCAGAGCACGACGGCTCATTTTTAATTTCTTGTTGCAAATCGATTTCAGAGAGCCAAGTCATTCTGTACAAGACTTAGTATGACAGCAAATGCAGCTCTATGCAATGAGGGAGAGATCAATCTAGATTGTATTAAGACATAAAATGTCCAAAGAAACTTGTGTAAAAGGTATAAAATTTCTATTTCTAAACAGAGGCCTGCTAAGTTAGCAAACAGTTGTTTTTCTATTTTAGTTAAACACTTAAATAGTAAAAAATCAAACTTGAAGAAAAACACAGGCTAGTGTTTGCAAACTTAAAAAATGCAGCCAGCTTAATGATGATGTCTAAATATATAAAAATTTTAAAAGTTTATGAACATGTGATCATTTTTGAATGACAGAAATACAAAACCTATCACTTTTAAAGTTTTGAGATGGTCAGAACTTCATATGTTTCTATTTCCATCAAGTCAATGACTGATAACAATAATAGTTACAAGGGAAAAAATTTCCTGCATTCAAATACAAATACATTGTATTTTAAAAAAATAAGTTCCTTCTTTTTTTAACTTTTAGATTTGCTTTTAATGATCTGTTTCCATTTCAAGAAAAGTTTATATGTTCTCAATTTTTTGCTTTAAATACAGAAATGAAATTTCAGAACAGTGGAATATTTATCTCATCTTCAAGGAAATATGAATTACTTGTTCATGCCTTCTGTCACATTGATATCACATGATTTCTGCATGTTTTCTATCACATAGTGTACCCACAAGAAAAATCAGAAGGATGACTTCAGTCTTATTGTGTGGCTAAGACACCACTGGTAAAAAATGACATTATTTCTTTGCTCTAGCATCAAACAAAAATCAGATCTGGATAATGAAAAAGACTTTTTTTGTCAGGAAGACATTTAAATTGGGGATAGTTATTAAAATTCAACATCTGCTTCAGTCTGCTACTGCTTGAAATATAAACTCTATATTGCCAATGTTTAGCACATGTGGTACATTGCAGACCACAACACATTTCAGGAGTAGCAGGTGATATTTAACACAGTGAAACATTGTGGTATGGACACCTGCAGTCTCTGTGTGAATCACTTTGATTAATTATAATAATCCTAATCCTTGATCCATGGAGCTGCTTTAATAAGGCCCACATGAAGATGCCTTGAAATCTGAAGACTTTAGTCAGAGTTTAAAGACAAAATTCATTCTTTCTTGAACACTTAAAATTTGAAGTGCCACCATAAATCCTGCTTTCTTTCCTGATCCCTTAGTCTATCTACAAATACCAATTTGCAAACTGTGTAAGAAAACCAAGTACCTTTCCCATTCCCTTCTCTCCTTCCATTTTTGCTGTCTCCCTCACTTCTCACTTCTGTTCCTTCCTATACAATAACTATTATATCTCCTTTCAATTACTATTTTCATTTTACTCCCTCCTCTGATCAACTATGTGAACCAAGAGAGTTATGAAATAGAACTTCACATAAAACTTCTCACTGAAAAAATGCTGTCCTACGTCCTTATAGAACCAACGAAACAGAACCCAAAATATATTTATATATTATATTCTTGTTTAATTTCCAGTTTTCCAAGCATACTTTAGAGAAAAAATTACTTTCCCTTCTCCCACCCACTTTCTTTAAGCTTAGAAATAACTAAAAAATTCTAAACTGTTAAACCACTAAATCCTGACCTAAATCAAATTTCCACCACCCTTATCAGCTTCTCTTTCCCTGCTAATACTATAAACAGTACTTTGTAGCAAATATTTTAGAACCTTTAACACAGGCTATTAATTGAATTGTATGCACAAGAATATCCATGTTTGTGTGCTGCAACTGGCTTTTGAAAGGCTGCTGCCTTTTCAGGTGCTTATCTGAGCCACTGTAATTGAATATGCAAGATACCTCAATCTTTTTCAATGCAAACTAAAACCTGCTTGCAAAAAATTGTTTCTGGAGAAGGCACTTTCAGTTGCTTCCAAAGTAGAAAACAAAACTAAGGCACTAAGTGAGTTTTGAAATTACTTTATCTGTTTCATATGGGAAGAACTTTCTGGAAACTGCACATTATCAGGGTTCCTATTCACTAACTTCCATCTTGATAGCAGTCACTTATATAATCTCCTTTGAAATACCTAAGGAGATTTACAGATGTTGCTTTTGACAAGATTTCCTTGTATATTACTTCTTTATGCATAATCCTTATACATTTATGGAACAAGGATATGGAATAAGGTATATGGAACAAGGAAAAAAAAGAAACATTTGCCTTCTCAGCACTTCACTTGAGAGAGCAGGCCCTACTAACAAAACCTGCCCCCAGAGCACAGAACATACTGATTAAGTGTTTCATTTCCTACCACAAAACAGTAATTAACATCATTGTACTAGGAACAAGGTTTACCTAACACTGAGGCAGTCCTTAGCATTTAATAGATACATATATTTCATCAATTTTGGAAATCTTCTAACAAATCTGTGGACGTCAATGGTTTGTAAAATGAAAACAAACAAGCACACTTACCATTTTTCATAATGGATCCATTCTCTGCGAACACTTGAAGCAGTAGCTGTGTTACTCATTGGCCAAAGAAAGTTGATAGATCTTTATTTATTTATAAATACCACTTTCTACTGTTTTGTAAGAAAGCCATAAGTAAGAACAGATACACAGATTTCTGGTTTGCCCCATGTATTATTTAAAGAAGCATTGAAACTTTTTTTTTCCTGAGTTATGTTTTGTGAATTAAGAGGAAAAACCCTCTTATAGTCTAACAATCAGGGAAAAGCAAAAATAACTCAATACTTTAAATTTGATGAGCATCCAAGATCAGCAAGCATTGAGTTCTACACTTTCATTTTTCCGGAATGAATTTCTAAATAGGAAATCATATATACCATATTAAAAAGTTCCAGCTGAGAAAAGAACATTAATTTTAGGGGGTTTATAATTTGGGGGAAAGAAGGGGATGGACATCTGATATGTACTTTTTCAGTCCTCTGAATGTGAGTACAGTTAGAAACACAGTATTTTCTATGACATTTCTGAATCTAAATAATGCATGCAAACAAGGGGCTTAGTTGGGAAAGGTAATTGCGAGGGATCTGTAAGATGTTTGACACTTGTCTTCATTCCATTTTGCAAAAATCCGTGAGAGATACAGAGTAGATATGCAGAGCAAGTACCTCAGTCTGCAGCTACTATATTTATGTGCACATATACATAGCCTTGTGACTCTTCTGCGGGCAGGATGCCACTGACTTTTCCATAACGTCAAGCAAGTGATTTATGTGATCAGGTGAAGACATGTACATGATATTTTTTTTCCAGCTCATTTCCTCTCTCTGACTGTACTTTAACTTGGAGATAAATTTAAGTTTCTGCTATCCAAACTGCATCCTGATGGAGAAAAATGTCTAATGATTTAATATTATGATTTAAGCTATTCTTAAATATGTTATTTCAGTGCCAGTTTTGTATAGATGACATCTACTTGGATGAATCACAAAAATGCTGCACTGCTTAAATCCCTATCTGCTCCCAGTGAGA